CTGTTTACTTTCTCAGACGAGCGACGAGATTAAAAAAGTTGCGAGAAGCCTCTGACGTATCACAACCGTCGAGAACTTTGTCGCAGTAGACGAACGAATTTTTGCACTAATGTTTCAGAGATCGTGGAAGGGGTGAAGAGGGGTGGAGGGTCTCCGATGAGGCCCGCGATTGGCGAATCCTCTGGCGAGGAGGTGGTAAGCGCGGAATTAAATTTTCTAAATTTCCGAATTGCCTAGCATCGAATGTTAACGAATGCATCTCCAAAAAGGTGGCTACTTTGATGAGACGATGCTGGGCGGAGGACGCCGCGGACAGACCAGACTTTTCGGCGCTCAAACAAACTATACGAAAAATGAACAAGTGAGTAACCGGTCTTATCGTCTTATCTTTACGTTTCAAGTACGCACCCTATGATCGTTGAGAAATGGGAACGGGTAGTTGAAAGAGAGGAAACGAAATATCGGGAGAGCGTTTTAGTAGACGAATAAACTCTGGAAACCGTAGGAAATCTGCGACGCACTACATAGACAAGGGGAGGGAGAGAAAAGTCGTAAAATTTTACCGCTACGAGCTAGAGTTTTACGAAGCCGAAGATTGTTCGTGTCGTAGATTACCTTCTTTATTCGTAGCGTCGCGGGAAACCGATTTCTTTGCTCGAAATTAAGTCTCATTTCCTCGTTTCCTTGCTCGTTTTACGTGTACGAGCGTTCGACGAAGGATTGTTTGCCAGGCAGCTAGGTTCGACGATGTTTCCTTAGCTTCGTTAAAACAACATTCTGTTATAGTTGACTGTATAGAATTTGTGAGAAAGTATTTATGTATTTGTGTAAAAAAACTTGTCTTTAAGGGATGTTATAAAAATCTCAAAAGGACGAATAGTCCTGCTGTCTGCGCGAGATTCTTCTCGTACCGCGTCCGCCCCGTTTTCTGTCTCCTCGATTCCGACTTTCTCGTTCCTGCGTCTTCGTTCCGGGGTCGATCGCCTCTGATATTGGCATAGTTGTGAGGTTCCGTGCCAAGCGGATAGGACCAACGGTGACCTCTTGCACCAAGAATTCGAGGAACATTGGACCCTGCCGGTCGATCGGTCGATCACCTAGCGAGAAACGATGCTCGCCGTTCGGTCAAATTCTGCGCGTCTATTTTGTTCATTTTGATCAGTCTTATAGCGCTCACGTGGCGCAATCTTTTAACGAATTGGAAACTTTTAACGATCGTCGCTGGAACGCGAAATCCTTTCAATTTTTCCGAAATCCAAGAATGGATCTCGGCAATTGCGTGTCAGAGGTACTTGGACCGTAAAGAACGGGTTTCTCGAATATCCGTGACCGACTGACATTTATCTCGTATCTGCCAGCGTATCTTTTCATTAGTAACAAGTATTTCGAACGTTTCATCGATCGATACGAGCGCCCTGTTGCGCGGCACTGTGGATACTGCGCAGATGTTCCAGCGTTTCCTCCATTTCCGTAGTTGCGGACCCGAACGAAAATTGAACGCGATTTCCTATCGCGGACTTTTTCGAGCCTGGCCGATCAACCCCGGCTAACTGAGAGTTCGTTAAACTTTACTCGTCGATAACCGTGCACACTTAATTTTCCTCTCGTTGCACGAGTACCATTCCTTTTCCGGAATTTCCGCGGCAACGATAATCAAAATAACGATTATCGTCGTATCCGATCGATTCGATCTTCGACGAGAAGGAAAAACGAATAGTTGCGCATGCCATCGAATAGCGTAATTGGCCATTTAAGTCGTTCGACGACAAGTAAAATTCCAAAGTTCCCGACATCGAATCTCCCCGTTTACGTGCACTCGTTCTCAGCTCCTATGCATTTATTCACGTGTAAACAAGTTCCAAGGCGCACGAGAAAACACATTTTCAACGACGTACATTATCCTTGATGCGATCCTTGATGGAAATCTTTCTTCCGATACGACCTCGTGCTGCGACCTCTTCTTGTTGTTTTCGTTTCGTTCCGAACTGTGTAAGCGATACGAGCGAGCATAGTTACAGTTATTTAGAATGTTGGCCTATGTTTTCGTTTGACTCTTTCAGAGATCACGAGAGCAGCAACATCATGGATAATCTGCTGTCTCGTATGACGCAATACGCCACCAACTTAGAGGCTCTGGTGGCTGAGCGAACCGCGGATTATCTCGAGGAAAAACGAAAATGCGAGGAGCTTCTCTACCAGTTACTGCCAAGGTAAGCGTATTCGTAGCAGGATTCCGTGTAAATTTGGTTCGCGTGCAAATTGAACGTTTTTAATTTGGAAATAAAATTTTAAAAGTCGGTTTCGTCTGAATTTTCAGGTCTGTTGCGTCTCAGTTGATACTCGGCCAAAGCGTAATAGCTGAAACTTACGACCAAGTGACCATCTACTTTAGCGATATCGTAGGATTTACAAAACTCTCGGCCGAGAGTACACCTCTTCAGGTGGTGGATTTACTCAACGATCTCTATACGTGTTTCGATTCCATTATCGAGAATTTCGACGTCTACAAGGTAAGCTCGAGGTTTTACTATCCCGAACGTTATTCGATTCGGTCCGCGTTATCGTCGGATCGATCCCTTATCTTGAGCTTACTCGATGCTTTTCTTTCCCTCGAACGAAGGAGAGAACTATACCTCCGAACAGGTTTTCCTTTATGTTCCGAAAAGTATGTTTCGAGGGACTGGCTATCGCAATTCTTTTTCTAGGTGGAAACGATAGGTGACGCTTACATGGTAGTATCGGGATTGCCTGTAAGAAATGGGACGAATCACGCCAGGGAAATCGCAAGGATGAGCTTAGCGCTTAGAGACACCGTGATGACCTTTAGTATCCGTCATAGACCGAGCGAACAACTGAAGCTTCGAATCGGAATGCATTCTGGTAAACTTGAGTCGCACAAAAGTACTAAAGTTTTTTCTCTTTACGCTTTGATTCGGTACTACCCGTCCATTTTTCGCGTTCCAGGACCTTGCGTGGCTGGAGTGGTCGGCTTGAAGATGCCAAGGTACTGCCTTTTCGGAGATACCGTCAACACAGCGTCCAGAATGGAGAGCAACGGAGAAGGTAATTGCGCGGTAGTCTTTTTATTTTGATTTATTTGTTAGGAGAGCATTGTACGATACGAATACGTTCTTCCGTCTGTAGCTCTAATGATCCACGTCAGCCCCAAGACGAAAGAAATCTTAGACACGTTTGGCACATTCGAACTCGTCTGCAGAGGGGAGGTCAATCTAAAGGGCAAGGGCAAGATGACCACCTACTGGTTGACGGGCGAGAAGTCAACGAACAATAACGTTCAGCCGGGAAGCGCGTTCCCGACGCCAGCCATCGCTATGGTTCCACCGCCGCCCTCGGCGCCAGCAACGGGAGGAGTATCGATAGAAACGCCAGCAACAACCATGACAACTATAGCAGCGACGACGCAAACGACTACGGCGACGATGACGACGATGACTGCTCAAGCTACGCCAACGTTCGATCGAAAACGCGACGAGACGATAAACGTACCACCGCATCAAGCGAAACCGCAAGAGAAACGATTCTCACAGATCGCGCAGCAACATTGCCAAGATCAAAATACGAATCACAAGGGGTCGCAGAAACTTGAGGAGCAGTCGCGATTTCAGTCGAGTCAGCAGAAAAGTCAGCAGCTTCGACAGCAAAGCCCCAGTCGAAACGAGGGTCAAATTCAAAGTCGAAAGGGTGCCAACGATGGCGATAGGAGCAGCGACGGCAGCAACGGTAGCTTCGTGACCGGAAACGGGGCACCAAATCGCGCTCGCACGATATCCAGCACCCCCGTCGGAGACGGTTCACCGTCTCGAAATCGCGTGTCCGTTGGCCCGGTGTCCAACAACGCGGTTCAGCAGGCTCGACGGCCTTATCAAGCCGGCGAGAGTCTGCCTAATCACACGGAAAGCGGTCCAAACGCGCCTCTGCTTGTCTCCGCGACGCCTCTCCCTCGAGTCTAGCTCGGCTCGTTTCTCGCATCGTTCAGCGTTTCGCGGCGTTTCGTCGAGGGAACCGATTTCATTCCTAATACGTGTGTCGTTGTTTCGTCTAGAGTAGCAGCGAGCTCCGATCGGCGAGCCCGATCGACATTTTGGGTCCACTTGTTCGAAAGAACGCTTTTCGAAGTAAAATTAAGAAATCAACACGGGAACACGGAATCGCTCGTTCTGTCGGGGAACTAAGAGAGACCCGATCGCGTCGCGTAAGCGGTTCGTTATTCGTACCCTGGCGCTCAAAACATTTCCTATCCGCTGGAATACACTTTATCTCGTTTATTTCGTTTGTACTTGACGCGATACGAAAACGGTTGAAAATCTTTGTTCCTCGACACCGGACGGTTCGTCGATTCGTAGCCATCCGTCTTTTGGACAGCGCGTCGATACTTGTCGAGGACCAGCGCTTTCGGGTAGAGCAAGTATGTTGGACTCGAAGATATCGCGGTGGCGTACTCTAAGATCGAGGGTATATGTATATGTGTGCGTGGATGACGAACTTTCAAGGCTAGTAGCGTAGCTCGCAAACTCTTGCAGTCGACATGCCTGCGGAGTAGAAACCGCCGCTAAAATCTGGAATTCGGGGCGTGAATGATTTCTTTTAGGCGTGCGCTAAAGTCGATCGGCGGAAAGAGACGCGAGGGCACGATTGTTTCATTCGCGTCCGATAGAAACGCGTCGCTACTCTCGTCGAAGCATAAGAGTAGCATGAAAGTTCGAGATACGGAGAAGGATTCGAAGCAGAAAGCGAGAAACGGTAAGAGAGATGGGCAAAAATTCAAAAACAGAAGATACACCACTCTTTATTCGTTTCCGGTAAAATAAACTCGAAGCCGAGCACTCGATCGGTTTTACTTTGCGAGCGAATCGCGATACATTCGATTCGATGCGTCGCGCGGTTATTCGAGTGAAACTTTGCCTATCTCCGAAACAGCCCGACCAAGCCCCACGCGTACGTGCGTATTTCTGTGTCGAAAAAAATAAAATATATATTTACGACGAGTTAAAGTTAGGCATCGGTGTACAAAAGCGTTACAGCGAATAGAGGCTGGACCTCGTACGGGAACCACCTGCCGAACGATGGAGCTTTGGGCGAGGGACACCCTGAACTGAACGCTTCGCTACGCGCTCGATGCGCGGCAAAAGAAAGTACGGGAATCGCTCTCCGTGGCGCGATTGACCACGGCGTCTCTTAACGATCGAATTTCTCTCTATTCGTGTCAATCTCTTGTAACGTTGTAACGGTCGGTATTCCGGAAATAAAGTTTCATCGTTTTTGAAAGTCAGCCGGTGTTGTATCGCGCCTAGGACCTGTTCCTCCGCCATCGATGCCGCGAGAATCCTCAGAAAACGGCGTTCTGGAATATCCAGTCGAGGTAAGAACTGACCCGCGTGTATATTCCAGGCCGTCCTGCCACACCGCATCGCATCCCCCAAGACACGATCCCGACGTTGATCCATCTCCCGTTGTCGAGCTGATGGAGGAGCGGTCCGCCCGAGTCACCCTGCTCGCGAATGCGCAAAACGTGAATATCAAAAAACTCGTCTATCGTTGCGACTCTACGGTGGATACATTACTTGACAAGCATCGCGACCACCCTCGTACGCGCCAGCGCAGATCACCGTCCTGGGAATTCGTCGAACGAAACTTTGAACGCACCTCTCTTGCTTCCAAATCGGAACGCTGACCTCCATCAAAACCGCGCTAGCAGGACCTCCGTAGAAGCGACTACCCCAACCTGAAGAAGACAGTTAAGCAAGTAAACAACATAGTGTACGACGAGGTAGATGCGTACACGACGATGCTACGAACCGGTCACGATGGCGTTCTTATTTTCGAAGGTCTGGTCTATCGGCGGCAAACAGATGGGCCAGATGTAATCGTTGAACACGGTCGGTCGATGCAACTTTAGTATCGCTATATCGTTATCGTACGTGGTGTAATCAAAGTCGGGATGAACGCGTATTTCGGACACGAATAAGTCCAGAGCTCTGGTCTCCTCCGCGGTCGAGAAATCGTATTCTCCGAGTCTGACTTTGATGTCCCGGGGGCTGTATCTGACGTAAAAGAGAAACGTATGTTTGACGACAAGCCTTCCTACGCTTTATCCGTTTTATAGAGTTTACCTGTACACGCAATGCGCGGCGGTCAAAATGTGCCGGTCGGTGACAAGGACCCCGCCGCAGTAACGGTTGCCGTCCTTTTTGAGAAGAGCTACCATCCAGGGCCATTGTTTGGGATCGGCTGGTCGGCCGCCCACCAATCTGCTTCGTGTTTTGATATTCGTTCCGCATCCTCTGGATCTCTCGGAATTCTTGTACACCTCCGTTGACGTCGACGCGTCGTCAGGTTCCTGCCAAACGATTCTGCCCGCGTTCCCGTCGACTTTCGACTCGTTTGATTCTTCATCGACGACTAAAAAGTGGAGCGATCGTCGTAGAAGAATCCGACAAAGTTCGGAAACTGGGTAAGCGCGATTTATACGTACCAGCAACGAGTGGTAGAATGCTGGTGAAACTGTCCTCAGCGACAGAGTTTTCTTCATTAGGTCCATTCAGACGATCGGGACAACAAGCGCCGAGATACCTGTTCGAATTCGCCGACTAGGTGGAACGATGTGAAAATAAAATAGGAGAAGAACCGTCGAGAGCAAACTTACCTCCCATCGATCGTGCAAGAGTGATTCATCGCGAGCTCAAAGTTCGAGCGGTACTCGTCGATAAAACACTTGACGAGATACTCGCAGCGTCCTCCTTTGTCGCTCGGTCCATCGCAACTCGAAGACGCTGACGATACCTGAATATTAATATCGTAGAAGACATGTACTGTCTGGCCGTAAGAGAATTCTACGTTTGATGGATCGTACTTACGGTTGAACGGACGAAAAGGTTCCTATCCTGAGAGAGCAGTTCCGCTGTATCTATTCGTGTCGCCTTTTAAAATTTCATCGACGTGGCAGCAACGGTATATAAAACAAATAAGTGTACTTACGCTTCGAATCGGTGTCATAGATGGAGATAAAACGACCATGAGAAAGAGAACACAAAACACATAGAAAAAATGTTCGCCGATACATCTCTATTCAAAGTCGTCGCGACTTTTCGACTCTATGATCAACCGGCGATAACAATCGCAACAAAGAACGCATTCGAGAAACGCCAGAGGATGAAGAAACCCACGGAAATAGCGAGAACCGTTTATATACGGATGTAGGTATACCCTCGTTCTATGCAACCAATCGTACTTCTTGAAACGCTGGTTACGAGCCTCGAGGTGCAACCCAAGGTGTCGGTAATATAACCGAATCCGTCATTTCAAAAACCACTTGTGCAACATTCCTCGAGTTTCCTGAAAAAGTGCTCGTATTTCCGTCGAGATTCGATACGCTCTTTTCGGTATCTAGCTACATTTTAAAGACACTCGAGTACTATGCGCGGGATACCCTAGGATTCTCACCTTGACGCTCTCGTATTTAATTTATCGGCTTCCACTTGCGACAACTACAGTTGCTGTATGCAGATGACCTGTAAATCTTTCGCAAGGTCAGAAACAACAAAAAAAAAAAAAAAAAACGAGAGTCGCGAGAACATGAACGAAAGCAAGAGCTTCGCGAATCATTGTATCTGAACGTATTGCCGAGAGTATTGCTAATCGATTGGCGGAATTGGCTCCAGTCGAAAACTCGTTCGAAGGCGCTCGCCTTTGTAGATTTCAAAAGTGATTCGTATTACGTATGGTCAATTAAAAATATGTTGCTCTCGGCATATCGGCAGCGCGGGCGTGTCGGGGCGAGGAGAAGGCGACACGCGACAGACGACGTTGAAAATTAGCGGCACGACTCGAACGACGACTATCGGGAGCAAAAGAAAGTCCCGTAGAAAAGAACGAAACGGAGCTGGACCCGACGAGTCGAGGTGAGGGAAGTCGCGAAGAGAAAACAGGAGAAGGAGAAAGATCGCGATCGAGGACAAGCCAGAGGCATTTCCATTTAAGGCACCCCGCGTGCAATCTCTCGCTCCTCTCGGCGCCACTTTGACACGCATATTCGTGAAACCTTTGCCCCACCGCTGCACACTGGTTTGAAATTATAAAAACCTGATGTAAAGTTCGAGGAGCACTTTTTCGAAGAAATTATATTATATTTAGGTAAAATCATCATACACTAAAAAATGAGCGAACTCGAATAGGAAACAGCAGGGATGATTTCTATTTCGTTGGTTGTTTAAAAGAACGATTTCAATTTACAAGGGGTTATTTATTATCAAACACGAATAAGTAGAAGAAAAAGGAAAAAAAAAACGACGAAAGAAGTATCGTCGTCGGATTAATTTTCTATTGCGAATAAAATACATATTGTTTCAATTCCAGTTGAACGAAGTAAACGCATGGATCGCTGTTTCTGCCGCTCCCGGCACCACTCACGCCTCAATCAAAACAGGCTTGGCATTACGATCTTTTAGATTCAAGATGTAGCCGTAGACTCTTGTGGTGTTCGTGACAGGATCGTAAATCCTGTCGACGTGTCGAATCATATCGCCTTCGAGTTTGTCCGTGCTTTCGCGAATGTACTCTTTTCCATCCGACGTGCGACCAGATTGAACGAGCCTTGTTCCATCGTTGTCCGTCACGAGAACGTTACCGCTTGAGAACGTTTGCGTGCTGCCGCTTGAGAACGAATGCGAGTTCCTGCTAGCAGCTGCTACAATTTCGATCGTTAGTTGACCGACGTATCCCGCGAGATCGAGCGATATAAGTTGAAACACCGCACGGTGCGCTATTTTATAACCGAATTTAATATTCGAAGGATCATGACGTTGCCAAGTAGATTGGCAAAATTACACACCGTACGGCGATTCGGTGAAAAATGCGCCGCGCGGTCGCCTTGAGAAGCCTAGAGAACGGATCTCTCGTTTTCGATAGTGAAAGGAACGCTATAATTTTGAGACGGCGTCGAAAAGTCGGAGCGTCGGAAAAATCGAGGGGCCGTTGCAGGGGATCGAAGAACCCGTCGATCGCTTACCTATTTCCTTGCTCAGATTATCCGAGAATCGTCGTCCCTGTGCCATAGCCTGCTCCAAATTATCGTGCACCTGTTGATGTATCCGCTGTACATTTTGCTGAATATTTCTATTTAGCCAGTTGATATTGTCGGATAGTCCGTTTACCCAGTCTATTCCGGTACCCATCTGTTGTCCTACGGATTCGCTGTTAATCGAAACAGCGATAGAAATTTGGATAATGAATACAAAATAAAAAAAAATATGTCAGCGACGACTCTCCTGCGTCCAGACGTAATCGCCAGGGAAACGTGGCTGACGTAAACTTATCGCTGTCGTAACGCGACTTAAGCGTAACGATCGACTAACCTGCATAATATTGCTCCAAAGAGCATCGCGACGCAGATTCGTCCTCTCATCTTTTCTTCTAACGTTTTTTTAATGTTCCAATCTTCTTCTTCTTTCTCTTCGGATTTCTCGCTTTCCTTCGTTCGACTTGGTGGGACGAAGAACGCTTCGATAACGCTACACAAATGCGTGCGAATGCGAGAATTATATATGGCGGTGAAACGCGCAGTAGAAGCGTGTTTTCCCCCTTGGATCTATCTATCCAACGACGACGGTGTACGAACGTTGTTGGACGTTTACTTTTCCTTGTCTTCTTTGTGTCCAGCTCGTGCATGAACGCGTGCCTGCATACGTGTTGTACTCGTGGCATTGGAAACTGCACACTCGTCGTATATATCATCGCATTGTCGAATCATCGCTCAAACAAATACTGTAATGCCACGGATATCGATAAAGTTTGTTGCTCGGATTCCCGATCAAGGGTCCCCCGCTACCGGTTACTTCTGTTCGCAACGAACGAGCGTCAGCTGTGAAAACAAAAACCTGCTGGACAAACTTCTGGTCATCTCTATATTTGAATGTTATGCGAGGTAAAGTAATTAACGATACCAGGAATTTGATGTCTTTTTATTTTTTACAAATAGTAACCGTAAGAAACAACAGGTAAACGCAATATTTTGCGAACAAGTGGACAACATCGATCGGCTATCCGATTCGGAAGGTCGTAACAGAATCGTGTCTTTTTTTCTATACTTTATGCGAGGCATTACTACGATACGGCGATTACGTTCGTCGGACTTGGACACGAGAAAGGAAAAGCGAAAACACGTTGTGAATTCACGCGTTGGTTCTTTCTTGGCCGGTTCGACGAGAGAGTGTAATCGATGACGTCGACCGAATCCCGAGTCGCGTCCTAACGGAACACTCGTTGTAAATCCATGTCCGATAAGAGGGCGCAGGGTTATCTATGGTACGTGTAATGCTCGTTGGAAAGGGCACGACGACGGAATCGGTTAATTCGATCGTGGTCATCAAATTTTGCGAGCAAAACATTTTTATCTCGGATGGCTTTGCATCTATATTCGTCCTCGACTCCCTCGATCGATTCCTCACGAAATCGTTTGCGAGACAGGTAATCGAGACATACGTAGGCGTTTCCATGTAACTTGGAAATGACTAGTAATAATAGTAACCCTTTAAAGCGCGCCTAACGGCCGTGTAGAGCATCGCATCGGGCGACTCGGGTCACCGGGGTATTCGGATAAAAAGGGAAGGACTAGGACGAGCGTCGGATGGAGTGGTGGGTGACCGCATTTGAGGGAGGACGGTCTCGTTGACCTACGGAGCAAAAACTGGTTTCGGATTCGGATTATGCGGCCGAAATTGTACTCGCGTCCTATGCGCGTACAACAGCTTCGAGCTACGTATCGACCCCCCACGCGACCGGTCCTACGGTAAACACGCTTCTTCCATCTTCCATCTTCTCGTCCTTGAACCCTCTTGTTCCTCTTCCCTTTGCTTCTCCCTCCGAGCGACGTCCGGCTCTGCGCTTAATTTTCTTCGGTTCTCCTCCACCGTTCGGGCCATCACGGTATATTCACGAGCGATACCCGAACGCTTCTCGATCCTCTACCCATATATTTTCACCTCCGACTCTGCGAAGCAGGTAGCAAGGGACCCGGCTCGTAAAAGCGTAATCGTTTCGCTCCTCCTCCACGATCTCTATCCTCTCCTTTGTCCTACACGAAACGAAAGGGCGCGAGAAGGACGAAGAAAAAACTCGATCGAGCTCAGTTTTTGATAGGGTGATCGACCTTGGACGGTGTCGACCCTCGCATAAGGGTTTTGCGTCCTTCGTCAAGGACGGGGATCTCGACGAGGTGGCCGGTACCGACGATTTATTTACTCGTACGCTAGACTGCGTACTTATTCGTGGTGAAACGTGTCATTATTTATTGCATACGGTACGAATACGTGGTTATCTGAATCGAAAACGTCTTTTCAGCCCGTCTTTATCAGATCGAAGTACTTAACCATAGTTCACGCGTTCTCTATTTGGCCTTCTTTCGCCGTATCTGATAACAGAGATCTATGGCACGTATACGGGTCAGGGACTGTAAACGTGTTAAATAATTCAATTTACGTAGGTTCATTTTAGGTGCGAACCTTTCGATTGTACACGATATCAGATACTTGGGGAGGATTTATTTTGCCGAAGACAATGATGTCGGTAGATTGGTAACGTTAAATGGCTAAGGTAACGTGCTGCGCGTCGAGAAGGAATTTGAAAAAACCGCGTTAGTCGCGTCGCGGATCGACGGGCGCCGAGTCCGCCATCTAGCGAGGATCGACGAAAGCTAAACGGTGTTCTCAGCGCGTCGCGTCGCGTACGTGCGCTCTGGCTTCTAGGGAAGGGGAACGCAAGAGTGGGGCGGTACAACAAATCGGTGGTTCAGTGGTCCCGCGGTAGTCGATCTCTTCGGGGTTTGGCTGTTTGTTTCGTGTGGATTGACCGAGCCTAGCCCCTTCGACACAGGATTACTGTTTTCATTTCGAGAATCTATCGCGTCCTTTTGCCGACCGCGTATACGACAGTCTCGACAACACGTTCGTAACGATCGGCGCATCGAGAAGATACTTTCTCTCGGAGCGTTTCTTGGTCCTGTTAAATGGGAGCTGGACGTTATCTGTGAAACTACGGGTTCTCTTGGAGTGGTCTGGAACTCGTCCAAGTCTGGACCGGACACCATGAACGGAAAGGAGGAAAAGAAAAGCTTTGCGGAGCCGGAGAATATGTGATCGCTTCGCTTCTCTCGGAATACGTGAGTACCTACCGCTTCCCTCGGCGTTTTAACGACCACTTTACAAACGACTCGTGCATGTACACAAGACCTCAGCTAATCGTTTCGGTTAAGCCTTTACTCGACTCGTTCTCCGGCAAAGGTCTTACCGAAACACAAATCTCGAGTAACGTTTGAACGATAAGCGGCTTCTGAGTAGAATTATCGACTCGATAATCGTCTGATTAAATAAATATCACCGTTCTATTCGTCGCCTATTATTCGATTTAATTTTATCCATCCCTGCTCCAATTTTACTCGACGCTCTCGACATTCGATCGTTAATTCGTGGAATGATCAGTAGTTTCAAAGGAAGCACTGTTTATTAGATTTATCGGAAAGCTCGCAGATATTACAATTAAATTAAAATTTACACCCTATCGATACACAGAAGACTCTGTTCGATCGAAACGGAGCCTTGCAAGCACGTCCTCGTCTCGAGTACTCTCGGGTATCTTGGCGCGCGTAAAAGATTGGCGTTCGTTATCTCCAACGGGATAACCGTAACTATTTAGTCTGAGTGTAAGATACGTACCTCGCTACGCGTTACGTAGCGATCCAGCGTAAACGAAAGATAGTCTAGTCGAAACGTTCGGGCCCCCTTCGAAAAAGATTCGTCCGAGTGTTGGATTCTGGCCCTGGCGCAGCGTGTCCCATCGAAGGCATGAATTATTTATCGAACGTTGTACCATCGTCCCGCTGGAAGAGGACGAACGAGCCACGCGTGTGTTGCCTGTACGATACGAGGCTGCAGATTCGTTTTCGACGATACGCAAGGGTGTGCTGGCACACCCGATCTCGATACTAGTTTTCGACCGGGGGTGGCTGAAATTTTATTCGAATAACAGATGAGGAAGAGATAATAAACGCAAAGAACCACGTGTTCGGCGCACGAACGTAAAATTAAACTAGCACGATTGCGTTTTTCGGCTTTTAACCCGTCAAGAGGGTATTTCCTATCGGCCTGTTTTTTCGCACCTACCAGTCTCGAGAGAAGTCGTAAAACTTCCATCGGAAGCAGACTTAAGGGGAATCCCGGAGCGAAAATAGATGGGCGAGCAGCCGTGGTCCTACGAGCGGATGGATTACCGTAATTCTGCCCGACCGAAGCGAAACCCGGGAATCGTACCTTCGACGAGCATCTAGTCCCTTCGTCGGCGCTTCTCGAGACTTCTTCTCGTATCATTCTCAACGGGGAACTAATTCAAGATACAATAACGAGGGAAAAACGAAGGAAAGGGACAAAATTCGAAGAATAAACTTAAAGAAATACGTACGTTTGAATCGAAGTTTGTCGCCGTCAAGTATTCCGTCTCACGCGGGCTACAGGGTCGAATAAAAGAAATGAAACGAATTTTTGTCGAAACGTCTCTGCAGCCATTTTACGAGCCGATTTGGTCGTTGTTTCGTCACGCGTTCCCTCTGAAACGCCCGTAAATCGTTTCTTCCAGTCACGTACGTGTCGCGTTCTCGCATCGAACGATGTTTTGACCTGGCTCCGGTAACAAGGACTCGTTGTCGGTAATTCGAGCTCGTTTCAGTTCGTGAAAGAACGCTTTTCGCTGGCATTGGGCGTTCAATTTTCACGCGGAAATATCGAACCGGGAACTGTTGCCGAGATTACACATGATCTAACCGCAAGAGATAAGGAAAATCGACGTTTGCAAGGTCCATAAAAGTATCGACTTATAGCGCGATAAGTTATACAATTTTTGAACGACTGTAAAACGGGGTTGCTGGACAACCTGTCGTACTGCGCGGTCGAGTTGGGTGGCGGTACCTGCCATACAATCCGTACTATGTAGTACAGGTTTGACGAACGACAGGTTGGAACTAGGGTTGGGACTACTTATCGAACTTTATTACCTGGCGACTATAATACACTGCGAACGCCTCGCTATTCGATCGTTATTCGAACGTTATTTCGTTACTAGGAAGTAAGAGAAACAAGCGTACAAGCAGTTTTACACCCTGGTCTCAATCGGAATTATTTTTCAAACAGTTGCGACAACCATAAGTATGCAAATTGTTACGAAAAATTGTTGCATCCGTCGCCCCCATTACAGCGAAGCGTACTACTTTTCGATAAGGTGTGTCGAACAACAGGTCTTCGCGTTCGTGGGAAAAAGGTCGTGCGACGAGTCGGCGGCGCGTCCATCCTTGCAACCCGTCGTAACGACTCGTTCGATAAACTCGTTTGCTGCAACCGTGATAACTCCAAAATTCCTTACCTTTGGAAATTGTATCGCGTTAATTTTATAAGAAATGTCAGAATGCTATAGGAAAAATAACATACCGTAAGATAGCGATTAGGTGGCATAAATTGTCATTTTCGAGCGGTAAGTCGTTGCGTCCACGGCCTCCATCGCGTTCTCGGGAACGTAGAGCGAAGCATGGAACTCTCGAGTCCATGGATTCGTGACGGCGGTCATCTCGTCTTTCCTTTTGGACCGTCAAACGATCCGAGCAACCTCTTCACGTGCCGCGCGCGAACGAACGATCCGTATAAGGAGCTGGCCTGCTGCTGCCACTCGCTCTTGCCTGCTCTTGTCCAGTCTCCGAGTCGCGAACCGCTAGGCACTTTGCGGATGCCCGATGGCACTGTGCCGTTGCGATGTTTCGGGTAGGGACCTACTTATCTCAATTATTTAACCATCAAGCGGTCCGCGTCATTTGACAATGCGTCGCGTCATCGGAGAAACAAGAAACGAAACTATTCGTTATCGCGTCAAGTCTAATATAGGTTTGCGTATTGGAAAGTTGAGCCGAATTAGTCGTCGCGCGAAGCTGACGGTATTTCTCGTTAACGCAGTTTAGCGCGTAGATTCTTGCAAGGGCGACTCTGCGTCCGTCTGCTTAGAATCGATTTCGGAGAAAAGATCCCGTCCTGGCGAATCGACGATCCGGATCGTCTCCGTTTCTACGTTACGCTTCCGACGACATGTGTCGCGGTACCAACGGAATTCGCGTCGAGTACAGGCACAACCAACGCGGTGCATACACGCGTCGCGTAAAAGCCGTACTTTCTCGCCCGCGGCAAGGCAGCCTCGACGTTACCTTGCCGAGCTGCGTCTCCGAGGCGATAGTCCAATGCGCGAGACACGAGAATCGGCCTAGAGAACGGACATACACGCTTCCAACTGTCCGTTTCAGCAACACGGTCATCTTGCACACGGATGCTCCTCTGCGCGCATTGACTGACGCGTAGATAACAGGTCTTCTCACTGCGATAACGACTCGCGTGTTTGCTTGCTTCTCCAGACCCTAACTCCAAGCCGTGCTACTACGTACACGACCGAATTTTGAACGATAGTCGAGTAATCATTCTTACAATTAGATATGGTCGCGACTAATACTACGTTCTATTCAGGGGCGTTCCCTCGGCTGTCGCGTCGATGTTACAGGGATCGAATCTAATCTTTTCGATAGAGAATCAATTTTTTCTCCGGGTACCGAGAATTTCTATCCGGGTGTTGTAGGTACGCGTAATCTCGGGAATGTCTTCCTACCGATCGAGGAGACAGGGTGACGCCGTTTCTCTTATCGACGTCAAGGATCTTTGGAACTCCTTCCACCAATCTTCTCGCGTGAAATCGTGAATCTCCGTTTCGCTTTCGCCGTCGTAGTCGGTTCTGAACGCGCGACTTTATCGCTCAGCACGGACACTCTCGACCGTTTGCCCGAGATTCGCGCCGCGCGTCCAAAGACTATGATTTATTGGACGCGATTAATCGACCAACTGGCCGCCACGCTTCGGAGCAAGTCATCGCCGACGTTAGCGTGAAAGAAAAAACGGGAAATGCACGCGCTTTCTGTGCAAAATGGGCGTGTTTTGGACGTGTTGCGTGTTTACTTCAGGGAAACGCGATCCAAGCTCTTTAATCTCTTCTGTCTTGAATGATTTTCTTGCGCAACTCGAACGACCATGATATTTGAACACTTGAACACGAATGTAGAGAGGTTGAATATCAAGTTCGGATAGTTGCTTTTTTAAAAATTTTAGTCGTTCCTCTAACCGTTTCGAAAGCTACACCGAAAAAATCGATCAATTCCGTTGTCAAACAATCGCGCGGTACAATGTAACTGGCTTCACGTGTGACGCGACACAATGGTAAGAATCGCTGTTCTAGGGTTAAAGCTCCGGACAGAGGTCGAGTAGCGAGATGCCCCCGTTATCGGTGACAAGCACAGCGAACGAGCGATCGACGAACCACCTGTTTCGTTTTGATCTCTAACGCAGCCACGTCTAGGTATTTTGTCGCCGTGACAGTGAGATGCAATTTCTTTTGCGAATAAGATTACAAGTTCAGAATGAAACAACTGAAACAATGGAACTGTTAATTTTGTCTAGGGGAGAGAAGCTCCGTCGATCGATAGCGGCTGTTCCGCAGATCGATACCTCGTCGATTTTCCAAAGCATTGACGACAGAGAAAAACATGCATCTTCTTCGATCATATCGTCGAAGAGAAGCACTCGTGGTCGAAGTAAGTCGCGAACGCAGTCGCGTTACCATGTTTGGCGACCCGCTCCCATAAAATTTCTCGCAAGCCGCTTGCGCTCGCGCTCGCAGTCGACGAATGTACGCAACTACACTTTATTCGACGTACTTGCAACCTACTCGCCTACCGTCCCAAGATAAATCCCGTCGAAGTTAACGTAAATGAACCGCGTACGCGCTCGCTCGACTCTCGAGTGCACGAGCTACGACGCTTCTATCCGTGGAACTAGGAAACGAGACGGTCAGGAGGAGAGAAAGAGAGAGCGCGAGAGCCACACCCTGCGAAGAGAGTCGCTGGAAAATCGGGAGAGTATTAAGATGTTGCCGAGATGCCGAGGAACGGAAAGAGGCGAGAGTTGCGCTCCCAGGTTGCTGGTTTCGCGCATTCTTTTGCTCTGGGCTTTCGTACGATGTCAGGGCTGTTCTCTTTATACGAAGGGTTGCCAAGAGGAAAGAAGAAAACCGTCTGATCTTGGAGTACGTACCTTAAACGTATTTATCGTTCGACTTGTTTGTCCCTTATCGTTTATAATCGGAACCAAACATATCACGACCGATAGGAAGGTACTCGTATCGGGTCGCGATACGCGCACCTCGCCACTCATTCGTCAGGTGTCGATAGGAATAAACGAAAAAAAATTTCATTTGATTTTTAATTTCATACGATGCAGCAGGTACCGCCTCTTGTCTTGGAAATAAATGTAAGCCTCCGAGTATGGTGCCGATATTTATTACACCCCTTAATTCCTCGTGATTCTCTTTCCAAAATGTGCGTCAAAAACTGGTAGACCGCCCCTGGTGGGTCTAGTATATCGAAGTTTGCTTAACAGCTATCGGTAAATCTCTGCGTCGGCAACCGCCGATAGGTATCCGTGATAGTTTGGACCACCGATGACAACCGGCTACCACAGCCCTGTTTTTTAGAGTACCGCTAATAGACGTGCCTCGACAGACCACTGTTCGAGCTTCCGGTTGATGGACGTAACGTATCGATCAGCTCCCGTTCATTGTTTGTCGATCCCGTCTCTAACGGCACGTCCGCGATAGTTTCACCGTGTATGGACTTCGGAACCGTAAAAACAGCGAATCGATACGGTTGATAGTTTCGATACTGGTAAAACGATGACTTACTTCCCCCTAAATTTCGCACACGCTACATTATACTTTAGTTTCGATCGATTTTGCGTGAAATGACTCTGAGGTACTTTCGAAACCTTTCCTACTAGACAATCAATTTCGAGTTACGATCGATTTCCTGCGACTCTACGTAGGATTTCCAAGGCGTGAAAGCCTTTCTCCCAAGTCGCGACAAACCACATTAGTTTCTATCCGATCGGAGAGAGATAGGAGACACCTACGCCTCGGTTCGCGGTAGATCGATGATTCCAGGCTATCTTCTTTGCGCGACCAGATGATTAACGCGAGCGCTCGTTTATTTATCCAGAGCTGTTATCTGTCGCTTACTGGACAAACAGAAAAGTGTAGAGGCCGAGAACGAACGGTATCGTCGGGGAACGTTGCCGATTTATCGCGCACGGCGAAGCGAACGGTTGTTTCTCTCCTAACGGAGAATCGACTATCGGCTATTCGATGTCCGCGTACGCGTACGCGTCTTCGTGGACGAATACGGTAAACTGTCTTCTCGTTGGCCTTATTTGTCTTACTGGTGTGGCAGTACCGTATATTTTGTATTAATATTGCAACCATCGACAGTCGTCGCATCGAACGTAGAATCCAATGTAGAACGCGGTAAATGAGTGTCCGACTACGCGACAAGCTTCCACCCCGCCGCATCTATACATACGAAAGAAACGTTCCCACTATCGATTGTTTCTTCGGCTCGAGCGCATCGACAGCTGCGAATACAAACCTCGGCTGACTGAACTTGAAAACGATGCAACTCGTACATCAACGTTAATGCAAACAACACCAAGATGATCGGACCGCGATCAAAACGTGGATCGCGACTATTTCGTTCCCAAGATGGCACAATTGCAACGAAGCGGCAAACAAAAGCCCCGACTGCCGCGATATTTATATTCGAAGAATGCCTTGCGTCCTTTTAAAGAGTTTCGGGACCACCGTGGCGTTCGTGTATTATCGTGCGGCCGAGGGGCTTTTAAAAAGTTTACCCTACCGAGACCACCGCAACGCGGACCGGAATATTTTACGTGGGATGAAGGAACGCGAACGAAAGCCGCGGAATTTCGTTCGATAGACGACGCCCTAGCGAACTAGTCGTGTCGCGTAGTCATTAATCCTCATGAAAACGTTAAACTTTAACCAAATATAACATCTCTACAAATTGGAAAATATAAAATAATTAAAAAATTTTTAATTACGTCGTCGATACCGCGAATCGAAGTTTTTTTATTTAAAAAAATGATGATAGAGGAGAAACGATCGTTCGTTTAATTTCTTTTTCGCACAGGGCTTTGTCCCTCCATGGTGCTCCGAACGAGGCAGAAATACGCGTACGTAGCGCAACCACGTGGGTCCGCTGGCGTTTCTCGGCGTCCCGTGTCCTCCTTTATCCCACTATCGTCTATTCATAGACGAGAAAGCAAGCTGTCACGGTGACGGACGTTCGAAGACAAAGCGGGCAAAAAGAGAAACGTTTGGAGCGTCGCGTTGAATCGTCGCTGTTGTTGCACATCGTAGAATCTTCAAGGATGCCCGAGCAATTATTTACCTGCAAATTCTTGGCAATGTGCTTGCGATCGATAAACAGAAGAAACAAATACCGGTATCGATTGTCATCGTTGCTTTCTCGATTAATCCAGATAAGGCGCGTATCGATTATATTCGTTGCAGATCTTTTTCAAGTTCTTTTTAAAAGGACGTCCACCGTAGTTGCGATAAACAAGCAAAGTCTTTCAAGTATGACGTAAAGATGCGGTCGAGACGGAAACGGAGACGTAGCTGAGGTCGTCGACCTCGCGCGTTCTTGGCTATCCTTCCGGCGGTCGATTCTCGTACGCGACGCGGTCCAGCCATCGGCCCAGCGATTACACCGTTCCGCCGAACGAGTGCGACTTCTCGTTTCGCGTTTCAACGACGTCTTTTTTCCTCGAACCGAAGGATCGACAGCGGCGCCGATCTCGTTTCGCTCTGGTTTGGCGACGAGCGTCGAAACGCCAGCCGCGACGGTATCGGTAAACGTTAATTAACAGCCTGGACGTTGGAGAACGCCGTGCGATCGTCCAATTAATCGCGGCGCGAGGTGTTCGCGAACAATGGTTCGCAACCACAGTTGCCGAGGAGTCAAAAGAAGAGTCTCAGAAGAAATGGTCAAAATTCTGATCTAATTTATTATTAGGCACTGCGCTGTAGACTTAAATATTTCTATTAATAATAATGACATATTACTTTTCCAGGAAAACAGTCGACGGGCTCAATCGAGATGGACCAATGGCCTGTACGTCTAGCGATACTGGGGATGCTGGTCACAGGCCTGCGCGCCGCCGACGACTTTCGACGAATATCCTACGAAGGTAAGCAGCCTCGAGATCCGAAGAGTTCGACACGCGAGTATCGACCGCTAGTCAACCGCGACAAGCTTTTCCTATTGAGATTTCTTTTAGCCTGCGATCGAGCGAATAATACATTTTATCTTATCGAGTAGCGTCGATGGGCATTGTTCGCGAAACGATTGCAAGTTTTCCTTCGTCTTTCGTTCGAATAAAATTTTGTACGTGTTTGATTTCACTGTGGGAATAGCTTTGTATCTTCTCAGCTTTCGAGACGAACGATTCCCGGGTGTACGTCTAGGAAATGGAAGAAGAACCCGTCTTCTCGATGCGGGCTTCTATTCGCCCACGTCGACAATCGCTATTGGATTCTACGATCGCGCGTGCTCATCCTTTTCGAGCAAAGAAGTTGCCGTCGTTTGGAGCGTAGGTGGCAAGGCGAGGCGAGGCGAGGCGAGGCGAGGCGAGACGAGGCGCGTCGGACGCGTGCCTATTACGCGGTTCGATCGACTCGATGGCTGCGATCGCGTGTTCGCCGATTGTCGGTTCTCCAAGTACCTAAACATTGCCGAATCGTGCAAGAATGGATTCTCGAGACCGAAGGGGCACTTTCCTCGGTTCCATTTGGTGCACGGGAATGGTTTCGATCGGCTTGAAGACGCGTAGGCGTCGAACGTGGCACGCGTCGGCACGCGCGCGATCCTCGCAACTCGCGCTCGCGACACTCGCGTCGATTTCTCTTCGTCCCACGATGGAACAGACGTAGAAAAAAGCTCTGCAACTCTGCAAACGGGTTTGCGAATGGAAAATATTCGTTAAAAATAGTTGGACAAAGCGGGCAAGTTGCAGAGGACGAGAAACAAGAACAATGTTTAGGAAGTTTTTGAATATCGAGTGAGCAAATTGTAGGTGCGCGTTCGTCGCGTATGCCCGTTGATGTGTTTATAGTATTTATGATATGTGCTACGTGGAATCTGGCGTATGGTGTCATAATTTATGGTTTAACGCTGTGCAGCATATGGTATCTGATAACACACGCGACAAACCGTGTAACACAGGCATCGGGCAAATACCGCGTACACGGAAGACGTATATCTACACGGTATGCAACTTCTCCGATTACTTCTTGAAATCTAAGCAAATTTGGTTTTGTTAATAATAACCATTCTACTCGCTTGTCAGGACGAGCAAATAGGATGCGATAGGGAACCAAATTTATTTCCTTTCTCACGCGAGACTACAAACGCGCGTAATTCATCGGCCTCGAACGTCATCCTACGATTAGATGGAAACTTTTGATTCGCGCTTTGATCGTGTTGCGTCATCATCCGTGACACTGTAACGCGTCTCGAAGCTTTCGAGCGAGTCTATATCGACGCCACAATTAACCATTTCTGTTAAAGCTGCCTATCGTCGTTAAAATAAGGAGAGAAACTAACGAACAGCATTTGAAAAAAGGATCCACCGACGAGTGTTAGAGCATTCCAAGTATGTTTGGATTCGTGGTATAAAAGCGCGTCGAGCACGCGCGCAGGAACGCGACGTTCCTGGTCCGATCACTCGACTAGAATCGCCGTCACTTCCGCGTTGTCTTCGAGTCAGCGCTTTTTCTTTAATTCTGCAAAGACAGTCTTCGAAAGAAAACCCAATCGACGTCCAGAGAAAAACTACTCGGGAAGACGTCGCCGTCGTTGTGGTCGTGGCGTTGCTTCCGATCGATGTACCGCTTTTTTTTTTTGCTGAAAGCGTCGCGCCGCGTTCCTCGACTGGCTGCGTTCTTCTTCTTCTTCTTCGTGATGGCGCGACCGAGCTGTCGCGGTCCCAGAAACCAGACTGTGTTTTCATCGAGAATCGTGTATCGGGATCACGTTTATCGCGAATCGACAACGTCGATGGCTCGATCGATCGAGAAGCAGCCTCCGATCGAATTGAGAATCGAGTCTCCGCGCGTTTTATTCGATTTCTCGCTAGCTCGCAGTTGGCGTTTTTCCGTCATCACGGGTAGCTTATCTTTTATTTGTTATTTGAAATTGTTAGACCGCGGTCCGTGCTCGTTAGGTTTCCGCGAAACACGGACATCGATCGTTAAATGGACTGGTCGATAGACGGACAAACGAATGAAAGATAAAAGGGCGAACGAAGAAGTTGCAACAACTAAGGGTAGAGAAGAAAAGGGTTTGTCGGAGAGATCGAGAATGTGTGCGTACGTCGCGAGGGGGAGGTGCTGGTAGGAGATCGGGGAGAAAATGAAAAGGTGGAGAGTGAAGGGAGGATACCCGAGAGGCCTTCGAGATCAGGTTATGCTAACTGGGGCCCGTTCGTCCCACACGTATCTACTTATAAGCACACGTACGTGGCTGCATGGACGCTCGCAGCTCGACTGTGTCCGCTCGAGGCGCGCGCTCGAGCTTCCAACACAGGTAAACTCATACCTGAATACGTGGAAACGCGAGAGGTACGACGAACCGCGTAGCTACCTTTGCGGAATCGTTTCTCCGCGTCGGCAAACCGGCTGAAAACAACAAGACCAAGACGACTGAAAGAGGAGACGGAGCAACCAGCGAGGAAAAAGCTGAAGAAGCTAGCTCGCGCTATCGCGAACGATGGAACCAAGTTTGCTCGACAAAACGATCTTGCGAGACCCTTCACCCGTAAACCTCTTATCGGCTGAATTTTAAGGTATCGAGAGAAAGCGCGGTTGTTCATCCTAGCTATTCCTCTCTTTAAATTCGATAACATTTAGAAACTTTCTTTTCTCGAATTCGAGGTTAAGCTGTCGAGCGGTCGTGATACGAAACCGCAAGTCGATTTGTGGAAAAAATGTGCGACGAACTTGTACCAATCGAGTCGAAAAATTCCGATTTTCCTCGGTTAGTCGGGGACTTGCATCCGCCGTGGTCGAAGAAAAGAAGGGACATGGTTCGAATCGAGTCTTCCGCGAATCTCTCATTGCCAATGTTGTTCTTCTGCTCGTCCTCGAGGCCTGTCGATGGAACGCCGCAACAAAAAACTGGAAAACCCTTAGATTCGAGAAGTATCGTACTTCGTGCGTGGAATGGCGAGGCATGAATCGCGCGTGTCCCTCCTTTAACGTCGCCAAACTAGTTTGTCCGGAAGAGAAGAAAGATTCAGCGTAAGTCCGCTGGTTCGCAGAACCTGGATGCGACCGCGCGCAGAACACGGGAGACAAGAAGCAGAAAAATGTCAACCGGAGTTTTATTCCGTCTATGTCTAAAATTATTACTCGAATTAAGGTGTTTTAAATGTCCAGAGTTTCAACTCGATATAGTTGATTTCTTATATTAGGTCTATGTGTTCGTTTGTTTAGAAGAGTGACCCAGACCTAACCCTTGATCGAACTCTCTTACAAGGGAAAGTCGATAGTTTGATCGTGGATCGAAAACTGAATACAACGTAAACGTGTTTCAGATTTGGCGGACACCAAACTGTTCCAACAAGAGGGTGTGACGACGTACTCCCAATTGCTGTTCGACGTCGCCAGACAACAGGTCGTCGTCGGAGCACGGTACGTACGATAATCGCGTCGACGACCAGACCGCATTCTTGTCGCGTAAATTGAACGATTTTCACTGCTTAACCTTTGTACTACTATGCGAGGAACGACCCCTATCGAACGCGGAAACGCGCCGAGAGGACGACCGAGGTACCGCGAATCGCGAACTGTCCTAACGTTGGAAAGCGACTTGGCATATTGCCAGGGTGGCCGCCGTCGCGTCGTCGGGCCAATTTTTTCTCGGCGAACAAGACGCGTCGGAAAGCTTTTCCTAGGATCGCGAGCACATACGCGCCAGACGAACTAGAAGGAGCAACGTTCTTTTTGGATGGTTGCCAAATTGGTCGTGACTTTGATTCGTCTCGTGGCGCGAACGCGAGCTTCGAGCAGCCGGATAATTTCTCTGATATTTCACCACTCTGTTTCAACGAAAATGAGTAGATACCCTTTGGCACGTTTACCAAGGTCGCAGTCTAGTCCGCGCAAACATCAGAAATCCGCTTGGAAAAGGAAGATCGTCCGTTCAGAACGTTTACCTTGCAGAGTGTATCTTTCGTCGTCTGTTATTCGAATAAAACTCTGCCCATCTCTGGTTCCAAACGATCCAAGATCGAACGGACCGTGGAAAGGAGAGTAATACGCCCCCGTGCTCTTTCTATTAATAGAAGGTAGTTATTAGTCGCGACCTACGTACGAGCTCGCGCCTCGTACGAAGGAACGCGCTCGTATGGCCTTTTATCTCGGTCGTGATAAAAATCCAAAAAATCGGCGTCGCTGGCCGGCCTTCGCTGTGGAAACAGCTGGTGCCGGTGATCTCTGCTCGATTTGGACATGAAATTTGCACGGATTGGGTCGATTGCTTCCAATCTCTTTCGTCCGAACAGGGGCGCTCGAAAAATAGCGAAAGGAGAGACAGGCGAATGTCGGGGACGGCGCCAAAGTGTCCCGCACGCGTACGCAATCGTTCTTGTTCTCGGATAACCGCTCGAGACTCGATCGATTTCTTTTTTATCGGAAAAAGCAACTCGATATCGACAAAATTAATTTAAGAATCAAAACCTTTCCACGTAATTTTTGTTTATATCTTCGTAGCTCACACGATCGTACTCGTGATCCTATCTACTAAATCGTCAACGAATTGTTGGCGCGATCCGAGTAGGCGCGCGTGACGCGAATCCAACGACGTTTGTCGACAACCACCCTCGATGAAACGAAGACCAAGACGCCAGTCGCCTCGTTGAGTTGGGAAATCTGCATCGCGAACATTTGTTTCGCTCGCGGGCGAGCAGCAAAAGCGCGAGCGTGGAAGCTGAACGAGATGCAAGAGGGAAAGCGCGGCGGCGATCTGGGCGCGTGCACGCGACACGGCGCCACGATTTGCATTCCTACTTTAATTCCCATGCGCGGCAATCGTGACGTCACCGAGTCGGAGATTATCGAAAGCGTACCGCGACAGGTAGATAGACAGATTTATTGGCATGCGATAGTCGTACATACCCCTCGAGGGCGTAAAAATATCGATATAAATTACAATAGCGACGGCATTACCACAGACCTGATACACTAGTCGCTCGAAATAAATTAATTTATTCTAGCAGAAACGTGAAAAGACATTAGTGCGACGATAATTCGATATCTTTAAACATATCCGCCCTAGATTTTATTCGTCTGTTACGAAATCGGTCGATCGAGGACTATGCGACAGCTGAAATGACGGCGTTCCATCTATCGAAACTGATTCCGATAACTTATGCAATCGATTGCTCGAGAAACAGACGCAAGGTTGACTCGTTAATCTTCCATGAAAGAGATCGAGGAGTTATCGATCATCGTATACAAACAATTTAATGGAATTCTCTGCATCGGCTCGTAACGCTGTAAACCGAGGTACAAGTTTACCTAATTTTTTTCAAATTCTTTTTGCGACCCTATTCGTCAACTGCTGCAGTAGGTCCCACATACTAAGATATCCTGTGTGTATAAATCGGGAAAGGAAGGAAGAGGGGGAGAGCCTAGCCTCGCCCGCCTCTTCGTTCCTTTCCAGGATCGTGTGTTTAACCCGCTGAAACGAACCTCTGCACCGCCGTAAATAATTACATTTATCGCGCGAACACGCCTCGCCTTCTGCGCGATATTTCTGCTCGACGACGGACCCTATCTCGCCTCGTATCTTTCGCGCGCGACATCGGTTGACTCTGTTTTTTTTACGATCGATTCGTTTCCTCTATCTTGCTCCGCCCGATTTTCACAGTTGCGATCATTCTCCTTCGACGACTTAAAGAATGCAGGAAACTATTATTTCTGCTATACTTCAAATTAAACTTTACAGCGAAGAGAAAGCGTCTTCGGTCCGCGATCGTTCCTTCTTTCGTTTTTCTAGCCACGAGGGGAGCAGAGAATTCTAGAAGGAACGGCAGGACGCGATGGTCGTTGTTCGAGCGAAAAGATGGTCGTAAATTGTCGAACAAAGAGGTCGTCGCGCGAGGGAGCCAGTCGTTCGTTTAGCGAACAGGAAACAATCTGTTTCAATGGGATTGCTCGAACGACTCGGCCGTTCGCAAGTACTTGTGTACCTACTCGAATCTACGAGTCGGTTACATCCTCTCGAAGGTTTACGGGAGCTTCTGCGGAGAAGATCCCCGAGAATACGAGAGAGAAGGGACGGCTGGAACGAGAGTAAAGCGCGAAACCTCATCGTTTGGTCCAGGTGTTCCAGGGCTCTGTATCGTTCGGCGCGGCAGCGTACCAATGCTTCCACCTCGGTTAAATAATAATAATTACTCGGTCAAAGTATCGCGCGCAGTCGCGGCGGGCGCCCACGTAGGCGCCGTTTATGCTTCGCTGCGAGTTTCCTGGGGCTAGATCTCGCGACGGGAACGGCGACGGCGACGGCGACGGCGATCGTTCTCTACCATCTCGTTCCGCCCGCTCTTGCACCGGTCTGCGCTCGAGAGGACTTTTCTACGCGTATCCCATAGGCACCGCGAGCGTCCCACGCGCCTCGTCAACCGGTCCGCAATTGATACGAGAGACCTAGGCTTGTTTCGAATTCAAAGACGCTCGACTAGATCGCTCCGGCTCGCGGAGCGCAGAAACTTTCGATTCGAACGGAGACGACGGGATACTCTTACGAAAGAATCGCGACTACGCTCGGTTTACCCACTGTTCGTTCACCACTATTTACTCTCCGTCCAGATTCTTCTTTCTCGTCTCGTTACCTCCGCGGCTATCATCCGTTAGAAAAAGCTATCATCGCTCGCGATACGTCTAAACGATTTCGTCGATTTTTATTTCAGGGATAACCTGTACCGGCTGACTCTGACGTCGCTAACAGCTCTCGAGCATGCCAGCTGGTCCGCGCCAGAGGACAAGACCAACACGTGTCAAAACAAGGGACAGAGCGTCGAGGACTGTCACAACTACGTTAAGGTGCTCCTAAGCAATGGAAAGAGCCTGTTCACCTGCGGCACCTACGCCTTCAGCCCCTGGTGCACGTGGAGAGAGGTAGGTTTCGGCGAGTCGGCGAATCGAAACACCAGGTGACCGACGATTTCCGTGTTGCGTAGATCGAGAACATCAGCAGCGTTACCACCGAAATGTCTGGCATCGCGATGTGTCCTTACTCGCCGCACGCGAACGTTACCGCGCTGTTGGCCAGAGGACCGTCCGGAGGACTCTTCACCGGAACACCGACCGACTTTTCCGGGGCTGATTCCGCGATCTGTAGGACACTCGCCACGCCGAATCTTCGCACGCACCAATACGATTCCAGGTAACGAACAACACGCGACACGGACGTATAAACTTGATTTGATATAGTATCGTAATTGCAACGCCACTTGAAATTTCCGCGCATCTTCAGATGGTTAAACGACCCACAGTTCGTCGGCAGCTTCGAGACCGAGGATCACGTCTACTTCTTGTTTCGCGAATCTGCCGTCGAGTACATCAATTGCGGCAAGGTAAGAAAGACGATGTTCGCACCTATGAAGCGTCGGCGATCGATTCTTCGTTTCGTTCCATCGGAAACCGAGTCTCTGGTGATTTCAGAAAATTTACTCGAGAATAGCGAGGGTATGCAAGAACGATCGCGGCGGACAGATCATGATGAAGGAAGTTTGGACGACTTTCAGTAAAGCTCGTTTAAATTGCTCCCTGCCCGGTGAATTTCCCTTTTACTACGACGAAATTCAAGGCGCGGTTTATCATCCGGAGGAGGGCATTGTTTACGCGACGTTCACCACGCCCGTGTAAGTATCGAGACAGAAATTACGAAAAGCGTGATCAACATCAGAGATGGTAAATATCTTATCTGATCGACAAGCGTTCGAAATTTTCACGATCTTTTATGTCTGTGCTTTCGATGATCGATTAGATGGAAGGACGAGAACGGTAGGTAACGAATTCGCGCAATTTACGGAATTTTGTCGCGTGACTAAAGGCCTAGAGGAGACGTGAATTACGTCGCTCCGTAGCTGCGAGCCCCGACGATACTCTGAACCCGACGCTGTATTTTTAGCAACGGGATTGCCGGCTCGGCGATTTGCGCATTCAACATGTCAGCGATCACAGCCAGCTTCAACGGACCGTTCAAGCATCAGGAGAACTCGGGCTCCGCCTGGGAACGAAGGTCCGTTCCTCATCAGGACAGACAACGGTGCGGGTCCTCGTCGAATATCGCCCCCTATCAGATCATAGATAACCAAAGGTATCAATTGATGGACGACGCTGTTCAAAGCACGAACCTCGAACCGCTTCACACCGCGATTCTCGAGAGATTCACGCTGATCGCGCTCGACGTCACTCCGACCAAGTTGCATCGCGGCGTCACTGTGCTGTACGTTGCCACCGACGTTGGACTCGTGAAAAAGATCTCCGTGTTGCCTAGAACTCAGGAAACGTGCATCGTCGAGGTCTGGGGTCCCATGCCTTCGCCGCCTCTCACTTTGCAGTTCTTGAAGGACACGCAGAGTCTGTACGTTGGCACGGAGATTGGATTGTTGAGGTACGAAATCGCTAAAACAACTAGAATACGTTACTGCTCGTCGGCTCGATGTAACTGTACGTTTCACGTCTTCAGATTACCCGCAGCACAATGTCATCGTCATCGAAACCGTCAGGCCTGTTTGAACGCTCAAGAGCCATACTGTGGCTGGGACGAGCATCTGATGAAGTGCGCCCCGGCTCCGAAGCAAAACCACTTGGCGAATCATTGGCATCAAGAGGTCACCAAGTGTCCAGTGCTCACGGATCCCGTCGACGGTGGATGGAGCGCATGGAGTGCTTGGTCGGCCTGTCAGCACGGAACAGCTGAACACGTTCACTCCCATTCCCACTCCCACGCGCACGTTCACTCGCATTCGGAGCACGCGGAGGTTGGTTAATCGAAAAACAACAATTTTACGACCCATGGTGCGCAGTATTTGTGCTGGAAATACCGATCGTCGATTCTTTTGTCGTAGACGGCAACGGACAATTGCCAATGCCAAACTCGAGAGTGCAACAATCCACCACCGCAGCACGGCGGAGAAAATTGCTCGGGAGCCAAAGTGAGGGTGACGAACTGCACGGTGCACGGTGGATGGACGGCCTGGTCGGCTTGGTCTGCCTGCTCGCAGACTTGTGGTTTCGCCATGAAAGCCCGTCGACGGTCCTGCACGAATCCTGCGCCCGCTTTTGGAGGTCGGGTCTGCGTCGGTCACGATCACGACGACATCGTTTGCATAGATCTACCGCCGTGTCCTACACCTACCAAAGTCGCGCCACCCCCGCAGACCGGCCAGTGGTCCTCGTGGAGTAACTGGAACTCTTGTAATCGACCCTGCAACGGCGGTAAAACATCTTTACCATCGAAATTAAATTTATTTCGTTCAACGAGCGACGACAATAACGGATGTATTTTTTCGCAGGTATGCGAATACGAAAGCGAACGTGCGAAAGCCAATCTCAGCGTAAATCCGGTACCGTCGAATGCATCGGATGCGATTTCCAGGTCGAAGAGTGCAATACCCATCAGTGTGTTGAGACGAAAAGATACTCGGGATGGACGCCGTGGTTGGCGGCGAATGCCACTACTTTGCAAAGTGGAAACGTCGGTTACGTCGGATACGTCGAGAAACGTTTTCGATTTAGTTGTCGAGCCCAAACGGACGATCCGTCGAGCGTGAGGGTGCAACTGGCCAAAGAGGAAGAACGTTACTGCAGAAACGACGGGTCCTGTATGAAAGGAAGCGGAAATCAAAATGGATACGGGGATCTGGCTGTTGAAACCGGCTGGAGCGAGTGGTCACCCTGGCGAGCGTGCGATCGTCCATGCGGGGGAGGCTCGCAACATAGAGTAAGCGTGCAAAACTTGGTTTTTCTTTGAAGAAATGCGTTATCGTACGTGTATTAAATGCGTTACATTTGTTCGACAGGTCAGGCAATGCGAATCACCGCCTTGCGATGGCGGCGTCACGCTTCAAACCAAAGTCTGCAACACGCATCCGTGCAGATCGAGCACCGCTCCAACTGCTACTGGCGCGAGTGCTGAAAGTCAATGGTCTTGTTGGACCGATTGGTCCGAATGCTCCGTGTCCTGTGGCGTCGGCGTCCGCACCAGAACGAGAGAATGTTTGGGTCCTGAAAGCTGCGAGGGTCCGCGACTCGTGAGAGAGACGTGCGAAATGCCTAGCTGCGAGTCGCTCCTCGGCTGGGACTCTTGGTCGCGATGGACGCCCTGCGACGACGATCATCAACAACATCGAAAACGGCAGTGCCTTAGACACGGCAACGGAATGTGTCAAGGATCGAACCGAGAAACTCGTGACTGCTTGCCCGATTGCACGGACAACGGTGAGTCGAGCACTTTTACACGATGCACCGTGCGCCAAAACTTCAGAGCTTTAACGATCTTTTGTTGGATCTTTCAGACGTGAATGCTCTACGATCGAGCATAGATCGTTCAGGGGTTACGATCGGCGCGGTAGTAGGCAGCTGCGTTGTTGGATTCCTGGTTGGCCTGGCACTCACGGCGGTCTTGAGTTTCTACTATTTGAAGCGACGACAGCAACGCGCACCTGGCAGCCCTCACTACGTCAGCAAGCAAAACCCTTACGTCACGGTTCCGTTAAAGGAGGTGAGCGCCAGTCTCTCGAAGAAATTGAAACAGACTACTCTGTATTTTAAACCAAAAAACACGTAAACAAATGTGCATAATCAATTGAGCTAAATTATTTCATCTCCGTTGAAACGCTCGTTTCGATAACTTGAAGTAAATTTATTACCAGATAATTGTCGTAATCGTAAACGCGGGATCATAATGTCATCAGTCTTTCTATAGCTTTAAAATTACGCGAAAATACGTCAGCGACGAGCAGCCACGGATTTAAAAATATCCTAAAATTACATCAGCCGCTGGGGGGGTGTGTTAATAAACGATTTCGTTCTTTTTTGCAGGCCAACGCCAACGCCAAGCGACAGCCTAGCTTCTCCGGTAGTACGAACGGCAATGGGACTCTTCGCGGAAAGAACAATCCCAACGTGAACGGTCTCGGTAGTCCGAAATTGTATCCTAAAAGTCTCGATTACGAGTCCGCGACGCTGAAGCGGAACAGCCACGGTCAACAGCACATACGAGTCGACTTGGATCAAGAGAAATACTATTGAACGTATCGATCGATGATGCACGGGATAATAAAGACAAGCAATGTTTTACTTTCCCGCGAGACCGCGATCGAACGTCGCTGTATCGACGACAATCGACGCTATGAAGGCGATCGAGCCAGTAGCGAAATTCGAGAAGCAAGCAACGTCTCGCACCGGCTCCTCGAGAAAGATGCAATATAATTTAAAGAAGGATCATTCGCGTGAAACGTGCCGTGACGAATTGGCGAATTGGCGAATACGCAAGAGGAGAGGATGTACATATATTTGGACATACGTACCTACGCGCGCATATAACGAATATACGCAAAGGAGAACAGTATACTCTTTTTATTTTAAGGAAAGATGACTTCGAGTTTCATATCGAACGATTTAGTGCCATGACATGAATTTAAAAACTACGTCGAATGCGTGTGCGAATCGATTTGTACCTAGGAATGAGTGTAACACGTGCATGTGTGTGTGTGTGTGTATGTATGTGTTTGCATTGCGTGTTCAAGGCACATACGCGTGAATCGCATTTGTTTATTGGCTCACATTGAGTCGCGGAATCGTGTCAAGTTACATGTACGAAGAATAGCCGGGAATAAAAAGACGATCCGATATATCCGACTCCGATTCGATTCAAGTGTAGTCGACAAATTAACCGAGCACGTTTCAAGATCGGACTGATCTTTTCTCTCTTTTTTTTTTTTAAAGTTAATGCCGTCGTGGAAGTCTCGGCATATCAAGCGTGATAAAAAATATAATGACGGCCATTAAGTATATCGCGTCGAAGCGATACATTATCTTTAGACGCGATAGACCGCTCACAAATCGGAGGCTAATTCTTCGATTTTCTCAATAGCGAAATTCATCGAAGCTTCCGTAGGAGGTGGTTGACACGTAACGACCATACGGAAGAAATTGCCGATATTCTTGTACGAGAGAGGTGTATAACCAACCATCAGCGATCCATCGACCATCATACGTTCCTTGATTTTCGAGGTGACTTTGTACAATTTGTCCCACCAATCTTGGGTTTCCTCTTGATCACGCATGCTGGGCGGTATATACCTGGAACGTAGCAAACACAGGAGCGTTTTACGTCGAAAGCGCGTCGATGGATTACCGCGCGACTGAACCGCTTACCAGAAGCAAATGTTGCAGCTTTCGTATTCGGGAAGGACCAGTCGAAAACCATCTCGGTCTTTGATTCGTTGGAAGAAGTACTCGGCCGCAGCCATCGCAACATCTACAGATTCGCGGAATCCTCGAGTTCCTCGCGCTTTCCACATCAGCCATAGCTTGGCACCGTCGACCTGCAGGCCACGAATATTAGATATCGAGCAAAACGAATTAAGAAAACTTTGTTATTCGCACCTTTCTCCCACACTGCACGCTCTTGTCGCCCGTGTCCCACGATACGTCGTAGTGTTTGTCCTGCTGGAAAAGGTATCTCGCGCCCGCGCAATTCGCCTCGTGTAGAATGTTCTTTCCCTTGATCAAGAACAACGAACACTGGAACGGTGCGCCGAGCATCTTGTGCGGATTCCAGGCCACGGAGTTCGAGCTGCATCCGTGTCAACATATCATCGAATCGATAGTGCTCGAACAAAAGGAGCAAAGATCATCCGCGTCGTTCGTCGAGATTAACAGAAGGAGAAAGCAAAGAAAGAGAAAATTAACAAGGTTACGTACAGCTCGATTCCTCGTAATCGCGTTCTATACTTTTCCGAAAGCAACAGGGTACCGCCCAGGCAAGCCTGCAACAGGGAACCATTCGAATTACATGTATCGCGCTTTCCAGCTCCTCGATAGCCTTCATGCTCGTACGAACGTCAACGTGTAACCATAGATCCTCTTCTCGGCAGATCGCTGCGATTTCTAGGAGGGGATCAAAAGCACCTAGCACCGTGGTTCCACACGTGGCGTTGACAAAGAACGGTAAGTGACCTCGGCTTCTGACCTCTGCAACGGCGGCCTTTAGCATATCCGGTCGCATGCGGCCCAACTCGTCGCATTTAACCTGTCGCAAACACGGACGAACTCTGCATTTAGGTTTAGATTGAAACTTTGACAAAATCAGCCATAGAGAATACCTTGTAAATGCTATCGGTTCCCAAACCTAGCCAATGCGCTCCCTTCGTGATCGAATAATGGCCACCCTCGCTGGTAAAAGAAATCAACCTCGGCTGACCTACGAGTCCCTTCGTCTTGATGTCCGGTATCTTCTTATACCTGGCTAACACCATACCGTACATATTGGAGATACTTCCTCCAGGACTTAGAATACCATCGCCTTCCGGCATCCGAGGATACCCCACCAGTTCCAGCGACTTCTCTATCACTTGCCGTTCCATCAACGAGAACACCGGGCCTACCTCGTACGTGTATCTAACAAATCCAAGATTACTCGTAAGTTTTTGCATATCTCTATCGTGAGATTGCTCGTCTCGCTATCAAAACCGAGCCATTGAAATCGCGACACGCGTAGCAAGACCTACTGGCTAGTGTTCAAGACGTCCGTCAACCAGGAGCCAGCCAATCCGTATTCGTCGATGCCAGCGTAGAGCTGATTGTGGAAATGCGGGCTGAACGTTTTTACCGAGTATTGAATTGTCTGGCGAATGGCTGTCTCGATCTCCTTCGCGGTGGCTGGTTCCTCGGTCAAGTCGATCGCCATTCGTTTCTGCGAAAGAAGCAGAGTTCCATCGCTTTCTCGTGTAAGAGTCTTTCGTTCTTGGGAGCAAAACGCTTTCACGGACGGCAAATATAAATTCTGCTTATCGTTAGATTTACCTGCAGCTCCTCCGGTTGAAGGAATCGCACGACGGGTTCGTTGCCCGAACGATCGAACGCTCGCTCTTCCTGGAGAATGTCGAGCAGTCGTTTTAGCAGCTCCATCGTAGTTCCCTCGGTAGATGCTGACGCGTCCATTGCGTGCTGTATACTGTACTCGACCGTGGTCGAATCGGTGCGAGAGGCAGCAAACTCCTTCCCCACCACACTCGAATCAAGTTTTCTTTGTCTATTCGCTCGTTAGTTTGGTTACGGCAGCTTCCCAGCCATTTACTCGTAAAGTTTCGGCGACCCGCGAAAATGCCCACAAAAATACGATCAACGCGTACGCGTATGTCGTTCGTCATTTTTCGACAGACATTGTCGCGTAATCGGTGAGACATAATCGACGCGGTCAACATGTCACGGAAGAGATAAGTTGCGTTAACCGGGAGGTAACAGAGGCTACAGATAAAGAAATCCCGTTGGAAGGGGTATATCAGACTGAACCGGCATCGGCAACGAGAAATAAATTTCTTTAAAACTTTAAACAGCGATAACGACGTTATCCGCTGGCAATATTTCACGCTCGACTGCCCTCTGTCTCCGTATACGCTTCAAAAAACTTGTCATCGAAACAAAACACAAACGAACCGAGACGTCGAACTTTGTTATCGCTGCGAAGCAAGCGAGCGAACAGCGAATACGGTACGTGGATACGATAATCTCTGGTATATTAATAAAAGTTTGTTGTTCGAATTCGCGATCAGGACTCATCCCCGCCACTATTTGTTTTTTTCGGCTGTTCTTGTCGAGCGGTTCGTATCAGTTCACCAGTTCCGAGAACAAATTTTCTACCCGTGATTTGCATGTTGTTCATTGACGATTTTTTAACGCTACGCGCGGCATTACTGTCCCGAGACGGAGTCTTTCGATGGGAAATCGTGTGGTGGGCCAGGAGGACCGGGTGGCTGACCGCTGTTACCCCCCACGTGGTCGACGGGGATTCGCGGGGCTAGACCTCTCATCGAGGCCCACTGACCCTCGCAGAGCTCGTGGAACGTTAAATGCATCAACGACTTTCCTCCCAAAGTGCCGGGACCCCTGCATATCGCTCCAGCACCAAATTCCCAGGCGCCCACGTTCTCCGTCGCGTCCGAGGAGCCATTCGTGCAGGCTAGGTACTTTTTCTGCAACCACGTGGCCAGGTAGGAGGCTGCGCAATCGCAATGCCAAGGATTCCTAGCAAGCCGGAGCTGCTCGATGTGGGGTACGGGGTCCAGTATTCGCGGCGGTAACGAGGACAGGTAATTGGATTCCAGTTGCCTGACCAAGTAAATTAACGTATTACATTCCGAGAACCAAATTTCGACTTGTCTTTCACTTAAACTCACTTACAGTTTCCGTAGATTGGGCGTGTCCTGGAATAGCTCAGGATGCAGTATCCTCAGATGATTCGAGTGCAGAAACAGAGATGTCAAGTTGGTTAGCCCACGAAAAACGCCACGCGATAGGATTTCTATGCCATTGGAGTAAATCACCAGCCGCTTCAAAGACCCGGTCGTTGAGAACAGTCCTGGCGTCAAGGTTTGTATTTGATTATGGCCTAGCTGAAGCTCTTCTAGCGCGAGCAATCCTTGAAAGGCGGACGGGTCGATCTACGAGACAAGCGACGAAATGTAAGAAAGACGATTAGATCGAGACTGTAGCCCATCTTCGTTAACGATGCTTCGATATGCAAGAATCGAGCAGCCATGTATAAAGGAATCATTTACCCGAGTTATCTTGTTGTTCGACATCTCGAGAGACTGTAGCTGTTGGAGAGGAAGCAGCAAACCATCGGATATCGTCGCGAGCTGATTGCCTCTCGCGTTCAGTTCCCGAAGCGATGTTTGACTCCGGAACACCTCGTCCGGTAGATCCTTCAATCGGTTCTCTTCTAGACGAAGAAACTTTAGGTTGACCAAATCGCTAAACAAGTCGATCGCCAAAGTCGAGAGACGATTTTTTCCCAGCAAAAGTTCCTCGAGCGTCGTTAGACCGTGAAATGTTCCCGATGCTAAGCTCGTGATGCGATTGCAGGAAAGGTCGAGCATCATCATCGAAGTGGTGCTCAAGAAGAGGCTGTCCGGCAGAGTTCTTAATCTATTGGAAGACGCGTCGCTGCGTCCAAGAGAAATTCATAGTAAACGCAATTTTCTCAACGTTAAAAATTGACTAGAACGTCACTTACAGAATGCGCAGATTTCGCATGTTCAGAAATTGAGACCGATGCAGCTCCCTGAGCATGTTCTTGCTCAATCTGACGTGCGTGACGGCATGCAGCGAGAAGAACAGATTCAAGGGAAGGTGTTCGATCGAATTGTCGCTGAGGTCTCTGAAACGATCCAGCGAACGGAACCCTTCGAGATGAGAACTGTTCCAAGGGGTATCGATCGTGTCTTTACTCACAAGTGATTCAGTCGAGTCATATCCAGGAACGTATCCCTGTGGAGTGCCGTCAATCGATTCCCACCCAGATCTCTGAAATCACCCGTCCGATTTGGAAACTGGATTTCCTCGCGTTTTGCCAAAGTTGGGCAGCGTTATATTACGAAACAAAATCGTTGCTACGCGATGTCTTTCCAAGTATTTTATCAACGACTCTCTCGTCGTTTATACTCGTTCGACCTTGTTCGATATTACGAATTATACATACGCGTTAACGTGAAAAACGATTACAAGATTATATAACGACATGATTACATGATTATATAATGATGTAATCATAGGGGATAATTCTGCCCATCTCTGCCAAGATCTTAACTTGGCTTACAACTTTAAGACGTCCCTCGGAACAAGCTGCGCGGCAGGAAGGTCCAACAACTCTTGCCGCCAACAGGACACAGTTTTCATTTCCGGCTGACATCTGCACGGTCCCTCCGCGCAAGTCTCCCAGTCTTCTTCGGTCACGCCCATCTGCCAAACTGAACGATCCGCGAATCAATCTCACCGGAAACGAGTCGAGTCGAGTCGAGTCGAGTCGAGTCGAGTCGAGTCGAGTCAAGTCGATTCGACGCAACGAAACTTATACTTACCAGCAGCGATGGGGACAATTTTACTCGAATAGTATAGCAAATGTGTGACAACTTGTTCGCGTGATTTGAGAATAGATTAGAATTTTGCCCATTTCTGCTTACCAGGTTGCTCGACGGCCCTGAGTCTTCTCTCGAGACGCGACAAACGACTCTCGAGTTCCTCGAGCAGCGTCGGAGCGAGATCGTCTTCCGTCTCTGACACCCTCGATCCAGATGAACGCTCGAAATTCGATTCGGAGGGCGCGCAATCGCGAGAAGTTTCCGACCATGATCGAGTCTCGGGGAGCTTCGTCGAGAGAAGGAGCAAAAACCATAAGCTTCGATCGGCAGTGATCATTCTCGAGGACTAAATCGAGCTACCTCCTTCGACTCGTCGCGAACCGCTCTCGACTAGCTCGCGTTAACTATCTATCTCTCGTCTTCCGACCTGCATCCTCGTTAGATGTCACGCTCGGCATAAACGCTCACGTAACGATCGAGATTGACAAACAATGGCGAAACGGCCGCGATAGATCGACCGCAATCTTTTTCCCCGCTATTTCTGTCTTCCCTGCTACGCGACATTCTTTGCTCTTTTTGCGGTGTTGACTTCATTTAAAATTGAACAACTCGTACCCCCTACCCTTCTTGTGGATTTGTTTAAACAGGCAAGGACTGACAAAGGTTAAGCTTCTCGTTTCTTTTTCTGTTGAAGAGTTTTATTTTCGTTAAAGCTAAAGCCAAAATGAAAGCTCGATTACATGGACGGCGAATCAAATGGTTTCGAAGCGCTGTCGGTCGGTAGTCCGTCGCGACGCTGCAAGTCGGAAAGCGAGTCCAACGTTTTATCGCTTTGGGATTCTTCGTCCGAGCGTCGACGCGGCGAAGGAAGCGGACACGCGAAGCGGGTAAGGTTTACCGGCCATGTCCTAACCAAGTCTTTCGTTCTCGGTCCCAGGACACTTGCCCTTGTCCTTCACCGCCAGCTCTGTAGGGATTGAAAGAAATTTAATTTTATTGAAATAATTTGTCGATCTAGATAATATCCATATCCAACATCGAGGACTTACTCGTTCCCATCTCGCAGTTGTGAACGTCCAAAGCGCACTGCGAACCGAAGGTTCTAGGTTTGTAGTTGGCATCGTTCGGGTCGTGAACGCAAATCGGCTCGTATTCGGTTCCACACTCCTTCAAGCAGTCTTTCTTATTTTTCTTAGCCTCTTTGGCTGCCTTGACGGCATCCTTGAGGTCCTTCGATGCTGTCGCGGTCTCCTTGATCTCCTTTGGTTCCTTAACTTGCTTGGGGGTGGCTGTGGTCGAAGTGTTGGCGTACGCATTCTCGACGAGAAGCGCAAACGCGCACGCGATAATCAACGCTACGAGAAACGATCAGCGAAAAATCAAACTTACAATTACCGAAACGTCTCGTTTGATACTTTCGGACGACCAGCGTTAACGCGCGCGTAACCTCGTTTCAATGTCTCGAGGAAGCGTCTCTTAAGCGGCCTCAATTTGGCCATCCATTAAACGATCATCCGTCCCCTCGTCGTCACGCGACTCGCGCGAATCCCACGTCTCGACGACCTTGCTTGCGTATCCGCCGAGAAACGAAATTCGAATAGATTTTACTTACCCACAAATACGACCGACCTCATGGTCGCTATAGTTTGCCGATAGTCTTCTTCTTCTTGGTTAACGAGTACTGGTACAATAGTATTCTTGCAACAATATTCGTGTACGAAGACGCAACGACTGAAACGTCGTCGCGTCTCGCGATGGTGCTTATAAACGAATACACCCCCACCAAGTTCTCCTGTTTAGAGAACTCGAGAGGATCACGTAGCAGCAATTTTCGAAATTGTCCGTGCGTCCGCTCCTCGCCGAGCGAATTGGTAACTGCTGCGATTTCGCTGGAACTGGAACGAAGTGGAAGGCAAGAGGGAAGATTTTACGAGACGCGTTTAATATCCATTTATTCGTTTCACGGAGAACAATGGCCGACGTATCGTCGACGCCATCGATGATTGAATTATTGTAGAATCTAGAGACTAGTACATCGCTAATAAATAAATACGATATATAAGTACGGTGGTAGCGTTTGGTTAAACGAGAATAATCTGAGCTGGAATTCGTTTCAAGAATCAAGAGGAGCGTGCACCTATAAAGCCCGCTCGCCGAACTTTAAAGGTGAGCATCGTTCTCCGTTTAACCGAACGCTTCTGCAAACGTATAAATACGCGAAAAAAGTAGACAATCGCGATGCACGAGCTAGCGCTAAGAGTTCGTTCGAACAAATCGCGTCTCTTCCGAAACATAGCTTCTCAGTAAATCGGCGTAATCCTGCCAGGTATCCCGTTGGCTCCAAGCTCCTCGCACTCGACGTTCGAACGTTTCGTAGTCCAAAGTGGAACGCGATCGAGTCTCGTTCACATTTCGATACTTGTCCATGGCGTTGCTCACGACCAACGTCAAAGCGTTCAATCCATCCGAAAACCTGGAATCCGCTGGAAAGAGAAACGGAGAAACGTAAGAGGATGAAAAGCATATTCGCGATTAAAGAACAAAAGAATTTGTATGATTACCATTGAGGAAACGACGTCCCTCGTCGTCGTCCATGTCTCCCTGACTGGCCTTCTTGATTTCGAGCTTGGGAATGAAGAGCAGCAGACAGATGACCGCGATAAACTTGACGATCATCTTGAAGATGACCAGCTTCAAGAGAATCTTGGCCAAAGTAAAGGCGTTCAGCTTGAGCGCGAAGGGCCACGAGAAATCGATCGACGGCAGCGTGAACTGAGGCGTCGCGGATACTCCGTATGGAGCTCCGTGTTCGTAGGTAGCGCTGGGACTGTACCCAGACGTCGGCGTCGGCGGGCCGTACGCTGCAAGGTCGGCGGAGGTATTTTATTATCTATTTGTTCTTTTTTGGTGCATAGATACCAAGCTGCTTATGTTGATGTGATAAAGTTATTAAAAAAAAAAGAAAAAGAAAAAAAAAGAGCGCGAAAGCAATACGATACCTCTTCCCTCACCTTGCTGTGGCGGCAAGTATGTACCGCCGGAGTAGTCTCCGTAAGAAGAATGAACGTTGGAAGGTACACCGTACGAGATCCGAGGTGGCTGAGGCTGCGGCTGCGGTGGTCCGTAAGAGTTCTGAATCCTGGCAAAGTCACCTGCCATCCGCGTTGGAAGAGAGTATGCGTCGCTCGGGGCCATCGAGAAAGAGTCTCGATCGATCGATCCGTGAACTATCCGCGAGGACGTCGAAGTGCTTCCCGAGTCTTTCGGCGAGTAAACGGGACCTAGCGTGTATTCCCTTCTGCGCTGAGAGGATCCAGAACTGCTCGCGTCCGCCGCGACCACTCCTTCGCGAGGATCCGTGCTGGTCCGAGAGTGTCTCCACGCTTCGAGATAACTGTCTTTGGACCACCGCTGCCTTCCGCTCTTCCACTCGACGCCCTTCGACGATTTCGGCGCAAGCGAATCTTCCCATCTAGCCTCCGGTTTACCGACAACGACCGTTCCGATCACCTCTTCGTCTGTCAATTTCAAATTAAATATGCAGATAGTCGATACAACGATTATTCAACGTTTTTTCAACTCACGAGCATCGTCCTCCAACTTAGTCGTCGCATTCCTGACGGCGTCGTCGATCGTCGGAGAGGTCCTCGTCGAATCGTGACCGCTGACAAGGACGGAAATCATCAGCAGCAGTCCGCAAACGCGAGCAACTCGCGAATCCTTTCCGACCTCCAAGAACATTCTTAGCAGGCTCGAATTCTCGTTTAACACTAATCCTAGTTAAACCTCCGAAGGTATCGCGCACGTTTCGAACAACCGAAAATGTCGTCGGATCAAACGATCCTCGAGGCTCGAAGTTTTCGAGTGACGACGACGAACCATCGAACAAGGGAACATCGAGGCTTTTGCCCTCCCCTCGGATGCGTCTTCCGCATATTAAACGACTAGCGGTCTTCGGCCTATATTCGATCTTCGATTTCGCCGCGTATTCGATCGTGAGTACAAACAGATTCGTGCGCATCTCGAATCCGCCGCGACCATCGATACGCCGATCTTTGACTTTCGCGAGTTTGCACAGACATCGCGAGAAATGAAGTAGAGGCAAACGTTGACGACTGGTGAAAAGCATATCACGGATAACGTTTCGTTAAGATCACTGTTCGTTCGAGTAGACTTGAACAACAACATAATCGAGTGTTTTCGATGCTCATCAAAAGACACCTTGTCGAGGGGTGTCGAGCATCCATGCGCAACATCTTGGCGCCTCTTGTTCTGCTCGCAGAGATATCGTCTAAACGAAATTCAAAGTAGACGCATGATCGCGAGAAGGCGTCGGCCCATTGATATGCGTTGGACGAGGTTCGCGGTAACGGTCACACGACTCGTCGAACCTCCTACGTTCGCCGCGATCCACTGGCACACTTACTCTCATCGCCCGCATTCTTGCTTCGAGTCGACGGTTTATTAGTCGTAATGGTCGTTCATAAATCGGCCACGACGAAAGTGAAATTCTTCGTGGCGAATTTACTACCGACCGCGTAGTCTCTGCGGTGTGATCGATAGACGGCTAGGTTTCCCAGCAACCACAGGAAAGGAGTTCGTTTGGTTGCCGTTATCGAGAAATTCCACCTCTGTTTCGCGTCGACTGTGTTTACGGACAAAACCATGCGGTTTACGACGGTCGAGCCATCGTACGTATTACCCAAAACATCAGAGTACCATAAGAGAGTACGTTTAATTACTTCGTTCTTTATGGTCCGCGTAGGTGGGCGATATTTGGAAAGAGCCGCGACATCGCGTACATCGGAAGGGACGCGATCGGAATCGTCTCCGGAATTTACGCGCGTTTCTTCGACGCGAGAAACGGGGAGTCGCGAATCGAGCGGTTCGATGGCCACGAAAGAGGAGACGGCGCATCCTGCATCGCAGGACACTCGGTGAAATTTACTCGTTTGCTTCAGACGTTACAATAAATCAGAGATCGAGACTAAACGTAATTTTCCGCGTCACCAGGTAGCATCGATCTTTTCCCTGGTGGAAAGGAGACCGAATCCCAGAATCTCTATTTTCGGTTATCCGTCTATACAACGAATAGCATGCTGCGCAAACAGTAGAGATGCAAATGGATACACGTGCTGCGCATTCACAAGCACCGAATATCTCCTCGGACAAACTATTTATCCCGACTGTCTCGTAATTCTTTGGCATTGGAGAACCGGCGATCGGGTGATCACGATAGACGCGGGAACGATCGACCTTTGTAGCACGATAATCGCGTGAGTTGGATCATTGATTCATCGCAAACATGATTTAATTTATTCTTCCCCCGGTTCTCTATAGTTGTTCTAACGATTCACCCCAGCTGGTAGGACGACTCGCGCCAGACAGTGGCACTCTCTCCGTCTATCGTATTCTCGTTTGCTCCAAGATCGTTCGACTGTTTCCAATCGAGGTTGCTATGGACTCTAGCCGCAAGCCGGTCGCCTTCTCTTGGTCCACGGGAGGGACGTTGCTTCTATGCGACGAGTTAGGCACGATTTGGTCCGTCGACTTGGACGAGAATGAAAATCGTCGCGTGCAAACGATCGTTCAAGCCTCGTTTCGTTCGCAAAGGAATCCCGTACTGGTGGCTCACAAGGGAGGTGCGTTGATCGTCCAAGTTCACGCAGAAACGGATCACAAAGTTCGAGCAACGGTAGATTCTCTTCCAAAAACTAACGCAAACTTTATGTCAAAACGTTATATCAAATGTTCACCTTTGTCATTTCCGTAGTTTTATAGAAAAGAGTCGAAGGAACGCAGCGAGAATTGGAGCTCAGTCTGGACGACTTTGCTGCCGTCGTACCCAAGCTGGGCGCGGAGTCATCCGCACGACGACAAGATTTTGATCCTCGGAGAGAACGGCGAGATATTCGAAATGATTTGTTCGTCGCGCGACAAACCTCCGCGGCTCGACTTTTTGCTGAGAGAAGGTTCGAGTTATACAGCGATTGCTCCGTTCTCTAATCAATATCTCGGAGCTATGGGTCTCTCTCAGCGACTGGTCGTTCTCGATACGTTTACCGGAAATGTCGTCACCGTAACAAAACACCTGTCGTTGAAGCATCACGGCGAAGGTCGGTGAGAGAAAGAAGCGATTTATTTCTGGATCTTTTCAATCCTAAACGAAGCGAATAAATGTACAGTGGTCTGCTTGATCTCGCATCCATCGACGTCGATTTTGGCAACGTGCAGCGCTACGGGAAGCTGCGTTTTCGTAGACGCTTCAGCGCCCTCATCTCCGAAGATCTTGAGCTGCGTTCACTTGCAGAACGAACCCTTGAATCGCATGAAATTCTCAGAGGAAGGACGAATTCTCGGTGTTGGATCTTCTCAACCGGGGCGGTTGTTTCTCCTAGTCGCGACGAAATGCTCTGGTGAAACGAGCATAAAAGTCACGGCCACGGTAATCGTTCAACGAAAGGTAGGAACGGTGCAGATACGACGCTGTAGGTCGAATTTCCCTCCTCGAGGCTATTATTCGTTGTTAGATAGTCGACTTTCTTGTTTACGAAACGGAGGAGCGCCGCGCGACCAAAGTCTTGGTTCTCGTCGAATGTTTCGATTCGAAGGATTCTCGAGTCGGGGACGAGATCCTGGTGTACTCGTCGGAACTTAACGGCGCTTATCGCGAGACCGCCGATCGTGCGATAAAGCTGACGGCTTCGTTTGAGAGTCTTCTTTATGGCAGAGAAGGAAGTGGAGAAATATTTGGAGCACCTTATCTGTCGCGGCAGCTACATAGAATTCAGTTTAAGGCAAACTTTAGCGACGCGGTCGTTTTGGATGCTCTTCCCTCTTTACACCTGACGAGGAACGTCGAGATAGGCTTTCATCGCACAGGGACGCGTAGCTTCTCTCGATTCCTCAGCTGCGGCTACGACGGATTGATCATTTTGAGAGACGCCTCGGAACCGCAACGAGTGTTGGCGGTATTTGTTGGGCATCACAGAACCCAGGGGGGCACTCGATGCGCTGCGATCGTCGGCGACTCTGTCGTTTCCCTCGGCAGGAACGGAGACCTGGTCGCCAACAGGCTACGTCAGCCATTCGTTCTTAACCCGTAAGTGCAGCTACTTGTATTTGTATACAGCGTAAACGAATGCCACTTTTTCTTTATCTTTCGGCTAGTTCCAACTCGCCGGGCATTTTTGTGAATTTGATTTCGGATGAGTCTGCTCGGAGTGAAACAGGAGGGACGAACAACGGAGGCGAGCAAGAAACGATAGCCGCCGATCGGTCAACGGAAACCTGGATGGAAGCAATAATGCGCGACAAAACGATGACCGAGAAAAAGCAAGACCTATCGGCGCGTCTCTCGATTCTTCACGATTTAAACGGGATAAAATGTCGCGTGAGTACTTGTTGACAACGTGGCTGAAATTTTCAATAGCAATTGATATTTTAACGATCGCGACAGGTAAAGACGCTGCTCGATTCGAACGAGAACGAGTCATCGGATGCACGGCTACCGATCAGCGCGTTCGATCTCGATCAGGCAGCTCGAGAATGCAAGCTGATAGAAATGAAATCGATACAAGAACAGCTGATCAAGGACTCCGAGGAACGCATCGCGAGTCGCGAACGAGCGATTTCCTTTTTGCGTAAACGTTTCCTCGAGCCCTTGCTCGTTCTACCCAGAACCATATCCTCTATATTCGGTGAATCGAAAGTCGCCAACTATCCCCTCGTGAAAATCGCCTCAAGAGAGGCCGACCATCGATCCTGGTGTCGATTCTCCATGGAAATTAGGGAGCTCGTGTCCAGGTAATACTTTATTAGTTGTTAGAAGTTTCTTATCTAACCGAGATTTTTTCCCATTTCCTGTTCAGATTCGAGGAGGAGATTTCGGCTGGTACACTGAAAGAACAGACTCCTTTCTATCCCTGGCGCGGGTACGTGGATGTTCTTCAAGCGTGCGCTGTCGCGGAGGAACGCGAACTCGATTTCAAGGTACATTCGATTGATTTCGATCGATTTATAATGCAAGTAGTTACTTGTTCTTTTTCGCGAAGATTCGATTCAACGAAAATTTCGAGGAGACGCGGTCCGCGAAGAAGAACGAAACTAAAATGGCGATCGAACGCGTCAGGAAAACGCGTCGTTGCGTCGACGAATTGAAACAAATGTTTCTCGTCGATGCAAGTTCGGACATCCTAGACATTTCACGGTGGCGCGGAATCGAAATGGTCGACGACTGCGACGACTTCCTTTCGCCTTGCAGCGAATCCATAAACCCGAAGGAAGAAGAGGACTATACCCCGGAAGAGGAAATTTGCTCCAGGACCGTTAGATTTCGATTGCAGACGCTGGAGCGAATGATGAACGGTGTCCTCGAAGTCAGGTAAGCTTCGTCGATGGTACTAGAAACTTTTATTTTTGTAAGAATTATTACGTTTATTTCGAAACGCGCTAGGTTAGAGGATAACGCGAAGAGGTTCATCCCAAAGCCCAAGTGTCTGGGCCAAAAGGACCCTTCAATTTACACGAAGAAAGAAGTCGTTGCGATCGAGTCGTACGAGAGGGAAGTCCGAGCACGGGAAGCTTATCGATCCGAATACAGGTCAATGCTGGAAGATGAAATCGAGCGTGTAAAAGGTGCTGCTCATGGTTTTTAGCACTTTGCGTTTCTCGACTTAACAACGTTTGACGTTCCAGACCAACTCTCGAATGGTGGGAAAGCGTTCGACGACAAACTTGCCAACCTCGCCGCGGAAAAGATTCGAGTAGAGAGATCCGTGCTTCTGGAAAGATTGTCCAAAGTACAAATGATCCTAGGACACCGAAGGATAGCTCGACAAAGACGCGAGATCCTACGCGTTACCGAGATGGAACTGATTCCCGCGACGAAGCAGACGCGCAGCCTCGCCGAGGAGTGCGAGTTGTTCGAGGCTGGCATCGTCGAGCTGAGAAACCGGTACGAAAATCTCCGCAAGCGGGACAAGCAGCTCGAAGGGAGATTTCGCGTAGAATTCGAGTCCGAGTTGAAGCAACCGATGGTGGATCATCTCTTCAGGCAATACCGTCGAAGGCCCAGAACCGCGGGAGCCGTTTGCGGAACGTCTCTCGTGTTTCTCGCTGAACTCGCCGAACGTGTAATCGAAGATCGTAATCGGGAATCTCAGATTTTACCACGAGAATGGCAGGACTACTTGAGGGCATTGGAAGCTCTCGACGCGGTGCCGGACAGCCTGCCCTCTCGGATAGACCCCTGTCATTGGCGCACAACCTGTCGGCTGAGAAGACTGAAGGTGGAAGCAGAGATCAAGGTGGACTTGACAATTTTCATTTTTCTTTGTGCGAATTAAACTGACTCTAACAAATCAAACCTTCAAGGTCAGGAGCTGCGCGATCGAGCTAGCGGAAGCGGAACAGAGCCTCGCGTTCTATCGAAAGGCCTGTCTGGTCGGCCGAGTGACGGTCAATCGACGCAAAGAGACGGTGCAACGCCTAGAAAAATCATTGGCCGATCTGACGGATGACACGGAAGTTCCGTTGGTTCTGAAGACTGGGCAGCTACAGAAACAACCTCGCGGCGACTCGAGTTCCGAATGGGAAGAGGCTATTTTGATTCCGCGACGAGAGCTCGATCGCGTGAAAGAAGCTATCGTAAAAGCCGGAGAGCAAAAATTGGCAGCTCTGCAACAGGTTGCGAGGCTCAAAAGAACCACGTCTCTCGCGGAGTGGCGACACGGGCTCGTAAAAAAAACCATGGAAGATTTGCAGGAAAGCCTGAAGGATCTTTCGAGCGTCAAGGTGATTTACAAACTCGTGGACTTTTGTACTCGCTAAACGATTCGTTTGATTCGTTGTATCCTTTGTGTTTGGCAGGTAAGCAGAATCGTGCGAGAGTGCGTCGATCGTTATCCGAGCGGGACCATACCAAAGAAGGAAATGGAAACGCTCGAGAAGAACTTCCGTGTGCGACAAACAGTGAGCGACTTCTAGAAAATAATTTTATCGCTGACTCGCAAATTAAATCGTATCGCCTTACAGAAACTCGAGGAGGCGATGGAAGAAGAAAGGGCTAGATTGCGACGGATCGCGAACGAGGCGCGAAAGTGGCGAGAAACGAATGCAAAATTGGTCCGCGAGATCGAACGGTCAACGACCGAAAGGGATAAGCTCGTTGTCGCGACGAGCGATCCTCTTCGCTCGAAGGCCGCCGCGTTTCAGCGAAAAAAGATGCGAGCTATAAGACGGAAAACTCGTCTCGCGCGAACGATCCGCGATAACCTCGAAGAATTGCTGGTTTTACACAGCAGGCTGGAAATTTCCAAGCTCAAAACTTACCCAACGTTGAGGTTCAAAATTTAACTTGAAAACCGGTTACATTTTATATTTTTGAAGACAGTTAATTTTTCCTAATTTATATTCACAATATACATAGATTAAAATCGGAGAAGGATAAGTTGAATAACACGTTTGAATAATGTTATGGATGTTTCGGCAATTACATTCACTGGAAGAGTAGAGCACGTCAGAACGAACAACAGTAAATAGAAGGTCGGTCATTCGACCATTATTCGTTCGATTAATCTAACCTCGGTTGATCTGGGAAGTCCCTGTCAACGTATGGTAAACGATCTCGATTAGCGGGATTTCCACGGGACGGTCGTGTTTTCCTCTAAGACAGATATCCCCTTCGCGATAATGCCTTTAAAGCCTCGTGGACCAAAGGTCAGATCAGTTATCAGCTGTTGTTTTCGTCAATGAAACGTATAATAGCGTCGCATCGAAGAGAGTAGTTTCTTCGGTTGGCGTTGCAACCTTGACACGCAGCGAATCGCACAGGTCGTTTGCATGCAGCTCGTCGTTCGATGGACCAATCAGCGAACGCCTATTCTCAACATTTGCGCGGTCGTTCGTAAATAGGGATGGATTCAAGCTCGAAAAAGTTCACTTTTGTTTCGTGCAAATAACGTTACAACTTGCACTCTTTTTCGTTATAAAAATAACAAGAAACAAATAAATGCAACGATTCTTTTGACTCGAGAACTGTTTTCAAAGAACTGTTTTCGCAGAAACAGTTTACGTTAACGATAATTTTGCGGATACGCAATTTTGATTAATGTCAGGAAAGCAACGGGATGTCGAGTACATACCGTGTACCATGCTGTTTGTCCTAAAGAAATCCAATTTCTCTGCTACGTTTAGGATTCACTAGTTGGGGACTCGATCCCATCGCTAATCGTAAACCATGGAGACAAATAGACCCGGTTGGCGGATGGAGGAAAAATAAATTTAAAAAAGCAACGCGATTAACGCCGTGAATTCCGAAAGAGGCAGACTCGCGAACCGACCAGATGTTCGCGAGAAAAAGAGAGGAAATGACGATAGGAGAGAAAACGATAGCCGCGTCGAGGTCGTCAGTCTCCTCCTCCGATTACTCCCTCCAGGTAGGCAAGAACGCTACAAAGAAAAATACTCGCTCCTATATAAGACCGGTGTCGGTGTTTCGTAGCTCGTGTATCGTATCGCGACTTTTCCAAGCGTTCGAACATAGTCGATCCTCTACTTTCGCCTACCCGTTGCGTCGATCGTTGTTCGCCCCGAGCCATGCGGTTCGGATTTCACGCCTCGCTCGTTGCTTTCGCGACATTCGCGATCGCGAGCGCATCTTTCGTCGCTGCTGGGACAAGCGGTGCATCTCCTGGCCGAATCTGTAAGCGAAGCAACATCGGTTCGCGTACTCGGGCTCTGGGACGTCCCCGAAAACGCTGTAACGCGAAAACGGCTAATCGAATTAGATCGCATCTCCTCGATCACACCTAACGACGTCAGCGTCGACAAGCCCAGAGCCCAAGTACTTGCGATATTTCTCGACAGTTCTCCGTTAATCTCGATTTTGTTCACGGACAGTTACGATATGCGTGCCCCACATATACTGGGAGGAGTGCGCGGAAATGATCAAGGAGTCCGCGGTTAGAGGGATTCCTATTTCGTGTATCTCTGGACGCGATCGGTTGGAATGCATCGATAAGGTTGGAAAGAAGGAGGCTGATGTCGTAGCCGTCGATCCGGAAGATATGTACATGGCGGCGCAGAACAACGAGTTGGCCGCGAAAGCGGGATACAACGTCGTCGAACAGGTGAGCTGTCGGCGAATCATCAAAGCTCGAAAATGGAATCTCATTTCTCGATTTGGCTTTGCTCGTTAGGTGAGGACCAAAGAGGAACCGGACGCGATCTACCGATACGAAGCCGTGAGCGTGGTGCACAAGGACTTGCCCATTGACAACGTGCAGGGATTGCGCGGACTGAGGTCCTGTCACACCGGCGTAGGACGAAACGTCGGGTACAAGATACCGATCACCAAACTTACCGCCATGGGAGTGTTAAACAACGTTCACGATCCACAGTATTCGGCGCGCGAGAACGAGCTGCGCGCCTTGAGCTCGCTCTTCTCCAAAGGATGCTTGGTCGGCAACTGGTCGCCCGATCCCGCCATCAACCAAAGACTCAGTAAGCCATCGTTCGATTTCCCGACGATTATGCTCGCGTCTAACTAATGCCATCGATTCTATTTCACAGAGGAAACCTACTCGAACATGTGCGCTCTTTGCGAGAAACCCGACGTCTGCAACTACCCGGACATTTATTCGGGATACGAGGGTGCTCTGCGGTGTCTCGTCCACAACGGTGGCCAAGTAGCCTGGACCAAGGTGATCTATGTGAAGCGTTTCTTCGGCTTGCCTGTCGGCGTCTCCCCGGCGGTTCCCACATCCGAGAACCCCGCAGACTATCGATACTTTTGCCCTGACGGCAGCAAAGTGCCAATCGATGAGAACACGAAGCCGTGCACCTGGGCGGCCAGACCTTGGCAAGGATACATGACCAACGGTGGCGTCGGTGACGTGCAGGCGTTGCAAAAGGTACCGCCGATTAACCCGTTCGAGTTCAATTTCCGAAACGAGTACACGAAAGATCGAGTATTCCAGATCTCTGTTTCTCGATTCGTTACGACCGCTTCATTTACCAATTGTCGCAGGAATTGACGGATCTCGGTAAACTTGGAGAACAAGAGAAGGCACCTTGGTGGAAGGACATTATGCTTTTGGACAACAAAACTTTGGCCGTTGCAGCACCACCCGTGTCGCCCGTGGACCATCTCAAGAGCTCGAAATACTTGGACGTGATCGAAAGGGATTCCGGATCCGTCGGCAAACGCGCCCGCTGGTGCGTCTCGGACCAAGGAGCTTACGAGAAATGCCAAGCTCTCTCCAAATCTGCGTTCTCGAGGTGTGCAATCGTCGTAAATCTTGGAAACATTCGCGAGATACATCGACAGCTTAATTTCGCCTCGATTCTTCTTCTCGTTTCGCAGAGACGTAAGGCCGAAGCTAATGTGTTCGCTCGAAAAGGATCAGAACGCGTGCCTGAAAGCCCTCCAGGAGGACAAGGCCGATATGACGGTGGTCGAGGGCGGTACGGTTCACCGAGCGGTCAAAGATTTCAACGCCATACCTATAATCGCGGAATCGTACGGACCAGGCTCGACGGAATTCGGCGAGAGACCCGCGGTCGCTGTTGTCAAAAAAGGCACTATCACCGGATTCGGTAAGCGGTGCTTACGCGTTCTTTCCTATAATTCGTAGGCGTATCGATGCTCGATCGTCGAGAGTCGTTGTTAATCTTTTACGTGTTTCATTTTACGCGACTCAGATGGTTTGAGGGGCAAGAAGTCTTGTCACAGCGGATACAAGGGCGACTTTGCCGGTTGGGCGGCTCCCGTAAATACATTGAAGAAAAAAGGACTGATAAACTCCGAGAACGACACGGAGGACTTTTTCTCGGGATCCTGCGCGCCGGGCGCGCCTATCGAGTCAAAGTTGTGTCAGCAATGCATCGGAAACTCGGCATCGAACAACGATCAACTTCAGAACGCGGCCAAGTGCAAACGTAACGGCGGGGAAGCCTTCAGCGGTGGAAAGGGAGCCTTAGCGTGAGTATCGAGTACACTTTTCAATTGTTGTTCGAACGATCGTATGCAAATGTCGGTTTCAGGTGCCTAAACGCGAACAAGGGAGACGTGGCGTTCGTACCGCTGACCGCTTTATCGAGCCTAGGTGAGTACGGTTCGTTCATTGGAAACTCTCCGTTGAAATTTCGCAAGGATGTATTCACGGTGATTTCGTGAATTTTCAGAGGAAACGAATCGAAAAGAGGGCAAGGAAAGTTCGGACTTGGTGCTGCTCTGTCCCGATGGCGGAACCGCGCCCTCCAACGAATGGCAGCGATGCAACTTGGGCGTCGAACCCCCCAGAGTGATTCTCAGTTCCGCCGGAAAATCTGTGAACGCCCTGGATGAACTCACCCATGGCACATTGGCGGCCAGTTCTCTGTACGCGAAACGACCGGATCTCTTGAATCTTTTCGGCATCTGGGCGGGCATGTCCGACGCGCTGTTCAGGGTAACGTCGAGATTTCCGACAACCGCTTCGATCGACGACGAGCTTTCTTAACTCTTTCCTTTCGTTTCAGAACGACGCCAAGGGTCTCGTCTCCATCGACAAATCGTGGAACAAGTGGAACGAATGGCAAGAGACGCAACGTAGCAACGGTATTATACCTTGACTCGTGTAAACGGCCGCTCGAACGAGCGCGACCTCGTTCCTTTCGTAAACATGTTTAATAAAACGCTTTGTAATAGCCATTTTTCTCTTTACTATTATTATTAATCTTTCGTCCAAAGCCTCCTAAATGCATGGAAATAAATCAGAAACCGTTCCGTGTCGATCGTTTACAAGGACGCAAACAAAGCAAAAACTCTGTCCACGAGTCGGAACGAACAAGTTTGTTGACGTGTGTTACACCAATCGGAAATCGGAACGCACGTCTGCGACGACACGGACGACATAGTTTGTACGCAATGATCGTTGCCCAGTAGTCTCGCGATCCCAGTACCATTTAGCAAGCGTCGATTCAACGTCGTAAACGAAGATGGACGGACGCGTTCAACGCACGATGCTGCCCAAGTTGTCGGTTAAACCGCGAAACACGCCCACCGCGAAAACAGTGTGTCCGTCAAAAAAGATTTCAAGCGGAAAGGAAAATACGTTTCACGGTACCAATTCCACGGCTAAAGACTTAAACAAAACTAAAATCTTAGAGGTGAAAACAAAGAACGGATGTCAAGCGGCACGTGGATGTCCCTCGTCAAGGAGAGCGTTCGCGACAAAGAAAACTCCGTTTCACATCCATCACGACCCGAATATCGTGTCCAAGAAAAACGAACGGGTATACGATCGAACGACTCTTTTTCCAAGTTTTTAGTTTGCGTGGTAACAACTTTTGACCCATTTTTTAGACGCATGAAAAAATTCCCGCGCCGAGTCACATCTCTCGAGTACGTTCGGTGGATGACGAAGCATGGACCTCGAAAAAGCCTTTGCCGTCGAAGATACCTCGACGCGTCGCGTAAGTTTCCGTTCTATGCCATCCCTGGAAATGTAACAACGACGGTCATCGTTTGCAGGTCGTGTTCTCGGTCGTCGAAAGAGACAAAATCCATCGATTCGATCAAGGTCGCGACCAAGCAAAATGGAAAATTCATATCGTTCGAAAGTCAGATGCGGAGTCTAAGTACAAAAGCTCAGGGAATTAGAAATGGGATCAATAGAAACGAATTCAAAACTAGGATGAACAGGTACGACCGTTCGTATCTATGTATGTCTCTTGAAAGAAATTCCATTGGTTTTATTTTTTCTAACAGATGTTTGCCCTCGAATACGCGATTCGACAACATGATGACCCCCACCGATGGAGCTACCCTGCCAACGCCGTTGATTCCTCTCAAGGTTTGCGTATTCAACCGTTTGCGTTTACTCGGAGAAATGTAACAATCTTTAAACTGATAAACCGATGCACGTTTCAGGCGATGGTCCGCCGTGTGAACCTTGTGGCTTCCCCGAGCAGTGTACCCGTGGAAACAGAACAGCTGATGTCCGAAGCGATGAAATCTTTGCCCCCCGAGCTGTACTACAACATGGAGTATCACAACGAAACGCCGATCGTAGAACTGGAAAGAGAAGAACGATCCCCGAAACTGTCGGTCAACTTCTTGAAACGGCACATCAACCCCGAGCAGAGAAGACTGGTGGTGGCATTTCTGATAAATCTAGGGGTAAGTACGAGAACCGGCGGAAAAAGCTTTTCCTTGGATCGACTCGAACCGATTTGATCGTTCGTAGACGCACTGCCGATACCCGTCCTACATTATCTATCAGGCGGTGAAGATATTCGACGCTGCGGTAGACCGAATGTCTGTGAAGACATCGTTCATTCAATTGACGGCCCTGGCCAGCTTGTGGATCGCCCTCAAACAGCACGAGATCTTTCACAGGTTACCCTCCGTAAGCGAGTGCCGGTCAAATTTAATCATTCCTTGATCTTTATACTGCGATATTTTACATTTTCTCTTGCAGGCTTCGAAGGTCTTGGCCCTCGCCAAAGATTTGTACGTCCATAGAGAAGACTTGCTGAAGTCTTACGAGCGAATGATCTTGCTGACTCTGAACTTTGGCATAGTGTTCGCCGACGCGTACTCGCTTTTGACCTTTTGCTTGATCAATTTCAGACGGTACTTTGACGTTTCCGAAGGGATGACCAAGCAACTCTATTACTGCGGTGGATACGCGGTATGGCGATTCCGATTTTCATTTATTCTAGATAGAATTTTGTTGCATTTCTTCGCTCTTCCAGATCGATGTTACACTGTTGGACGAAGAGTTTTGTCGAACGTCGGCTGGAGTAGTCGCCATCGCGGCATCCGAACTGGTTCTCGGTTTGCTTTTCGACGACGTCGTCCAAAACCCTCGTCCTCGATGGCTGTTCTGGAGGGGTATACTCTACGCTGGGTCTCCCCGTTTTATTGGCAGGTCGGTTCTTTTCTCTACAATATTATTTAACAATCCGTTTTCTTTCAACGAACCCGTTTTCCGTGTTCTCTTTGCGTAGGTTTCAAACTGACGAAATTAGCCAATGTCGTGTCGCGATGGCGAAACGCATCATTGATTCCGATAACAAGCACTGCGTTTTCGAGGTCGTGAAAAAGAAGTATAGCCGTAGCAAGTACTGTTCCGTAGCGCAGTTTTTTATAGAACGGGCTAATCGTATTTCGCTTATGGAAATTTGTCACGATTAAATGTGTCTTTTATTTATTCGCGATTTTAATTGTAGAACAATCCATGCGATATTTGTTTATTTAAATATTCATTACTTTCATTATATATATATTTGTTTATTTATTTATGTATTTAAACGAATGTCAAAGATTTACGTTTATGCAAATGCTTAGTTGGACGTACAAATCCATTTCTTAAAAGCAAATACATTAAATTTATCATAAAGACTTCCCTGGTGTAGTTTATTTCAAAATTATTTAAAAATAGGTTTTCACGGGGTAAGCGATGGTATCGCCATCTCGCGGCGAGAGGGTCGAACTAAAATTCCGACCTCCGATCAGCGCACCACCGGGAAAACGCCCA